GTTTTATATTATTATTTTTTACATATGAGGGCATCTCGACTCCTATAATAGCCAGTTGTTACTCCAATTTTTTTTTCTTTCACAAATTACTGATACATAACAGATAAATAACAGTCATTTTGTAAAATATTTTGAATGTTTGGATAAAACTGCAAACCTGATAAGTATGTCTTAAATTTGAACATAAATGGTGATCTAAATTTAGTTTGCAAACATTACCAAGGTTTGTTTTAACAAATTTTATTCAAAACATCATTGTATTTTCCCGATTCAATGACATGTCAGTAAAAGTGTATTATTCATTTCATAATTCAATGAGTAATCCAGTAACTTAAAACTTTAGTATAAAATTAATTTAAGTCCAAGTTAAGTTCACAACCTTTTTATGCAATATCAGTAAACACTCTGTATACTGTAGATATAATAATTTATCACGTCATCCTTTTGGCGGCTCGGCCGTAGCCCACGTGGCTTTTGCCAACCTTATAACAAAAGTTCCCCGTTAAATCCCTGCTGTTGAGCGACGGTCAGCGTTGGTCTCGGCTAAGCTTGATCTCGGCTAACGCTCTATGTTGTGAACCCATTTTTTGGCCGTCGGTTAAAATTGGCCGAGAACAACGATAACCGCGGGCCACGAAACCCCGTACTCGCGAACCGCCTCTAAGTTTCTCAGGTTACTCGTTGAACTGCATCTGACACTGAGTACTGAGCAAATAACTGCATGCATATAAAGACTCGCGATTGCGAGTTTATAAAAGTAAACGAACATTTGCTATTCGAAAAACGAAAAGTTGAACGGAATATGACACATGTGTGTAGACGTCTACTCGTTAATCGGTGAATAGCAAGACAACTACAATACTTCGTGCTTGGCGAAAGTTAATCCGAATGTACTAGGGTGGGGTGGTGGGAAACGCTGCTGTGGGCGGAGACTTTGGGCACCGACGCCATGGTTTTACCCCTCGATCGCTCCTGTTGCTCCTCCCCTTTAAGAAGGGGGAATGTTCTATTTTTCGGCAGATTACGACTTTTAATGCATTCTTTCGACAAATTAACACAAATAGATCTTTCGGCGATTTGGGACGCTTAAGTCGTACTACGCCGAAGAAAGTTTTCGGCATTTTGATGGTGAATATGGTTTCGCTAGATTAAGATTCGGCAGTTTAGGACAGAAATAACAATTCGGGTATTTGACACTTATAAATCCTAATGTGCCGAACTATTTTCAATAGAGTCCTAAACTCCCGAAATAAAGTTTAAATCGTCGCAAATTGCCGAAAGAATTCGGCACTATTGCATTCGGCAGTTTAGGACTTATTTGTCTTTCGGCTAGTTGGGATTCGGTGCTATAGGACCACACCTGTAATCTGTTTTCAAGGTAAGATTGAAACCAATTTAAAGCATTGTTAGCAAAACCAAAACTTTTTAAAATTGAAATTAATGTTGAATGGCAGACACTATCAAATGCTTTACTAATATCCATAAACACCCTGACAGTGCTCTCACCCTTATCAATAGCATCAATTATAGTTTCTATCAAATCAATTTGTTGCAGTGACAACAGATTTACCGGGCCTGAATCCATGTTGCTCAGTATCAAATAAGCTATTATTTTCTAAGAAATTCATTAATCGTGAATGCATGGCACGCTCATAGATTTTTGATAAGCATGGCAAAATAGATAATGGTCTGTAATTAGAAGGGTCCTTATTTCTACCAGATTTATGTAATGTTTTAATTTTAGAGATTTTTAATTTACTTGGAAATATTCCTGAAATTAAAGAAGAGTTGATTAAATGAGCCAATGGTTTAGCTAAAACATCTTTAGCACTTGAAACAGGCATAGGAATTTCATCAAAACCACAGGTAAACTTGTTTTCAAAAGAAGAAAAAATCTTGTCTACTTCAGCTTCATCAACAGGCTTTAAATAACATTTTACTGAATTTGCAGGATTTGAGATTGCACCAAGAGCTCCCAAAGACAAGTCCCCAATCCTATCTACCAAACTTACAAAATGATCATTAAATATTTCGCATATATCATCGGGTTCAGTGTATTCAAAGTTGCCAATTTTTAATTGGATTTCATTTTCACGTACTCGGTTTCTGTTTAGTTCCCTATTAATAATATCCAAGTAGTTTTTGAGACATTACTGGCATTTCTTATATTGCTTTCGATATAATGTCGTTTAGCACTATTTAATTGGGCTGCGTAGCTTCTTTTCAGGTCTTTTAGCTTTTTTATTAAAAACTTATCCTTATTTACCCCAATTTCTCGGCTTAATAGTATTATTTCATCTGTAGCTAACTTAAGTTCCGGAGTTATCCAATTTTTTGATTTTGAACAGGCACGAGACTTTAACTTAAGAAAGCAACTATCAAAATAAAACATAAGGATATTAAAAAATACATCATATTTTTCCTCTACAGTCGCTAAATATAAATCAGTCCACGTTTCCTGTGCAAGATAATTTTTGAATTTGGTTAAATTTTCAGGAAGGAATTTTCTACTAGATTTAATAGTAGGTTTGTTAAACTTTTGTTTGGAAGAGATGTCCCGAATTTCTAAGAGTTGAGCGTCATGATCAGAGAGCTCAGTTATTAGGCCTGATACTAAAAGATTGTTTTTAGGAATTGTAGTAAATATATTATCAATAGCACTTTCACCCTCTAATGTTATTCTAGTAGGAAAGTCTACCAAATATTGCATATTATATTCATTAAAAATATTATTGAATATCTGATAGCCCTTGGAAAACTTAACGTTAATATTAATGTCTCCAGCCACAATTAGTCTTTCATATTTTTCAAAAATAAGGCCTAACAAACTATTTAATTTTTCAAGAAAAATATTTTCGTATACAGATCCTGGAGTTCTATACAAACCAACCAATAAAAATATGAAATCATTAACTCTCGCCTCAATCATACAACATTCAAAATACTTATCCTTAACCAAATTTTCAACTGCAGGAATTATAATTTTTTTACTTTAATGTGGTTACAGTCACGAGAAAGAATCATAACACCTCCACCTAAGTAGGTTTTCCTACAGTAATAGCTTACAACATTATAGTTAGAAATGTGTGCAAAATTAATTTCATCATTATTGAGCTTGTGTTCACTAAGAATAACAAAATGGGGCTTTAGTTCGTCTAAAATGATTTCAAGGAATAAAGTACGAGATGAAAAATGCTGGATATTTTGATGGAGAATTAAAACGTTAGAGGAATGTTTGTTTGTTACAATAGGAGAGGAGGGGTTATTTTTGAACATTTTCACATTATTTACAGTACTATCTTTACACCTCAAACAGTCATTTGGCAAAAAAGATACATTTTCAGAGATGTCTAGTGGGTTTTCAAAATCCAAATTCATAAAAGTTTGACTTTCCAGTCGTTTTTTGTTAGTTAAATGAACATCATCCATGTTATTTTGACTATTATTTATGTGTTTTTCATTATCAATTGAATGTATCTTTTTTGACAATAATAATTTCCTATCTATAAAAAATCATTCTCATTGCTGCCAGAAATGGGAGTCTTTGGCAGATCATTATTACCCTGGGTATCACTTGTACTCTGCTTTTCACTACCACTTTTGCACTTGATATTTTCACTATGCTGTAACTGGTAGTGTGATGGGGTGAGTGGAGGGAAGGTGTTGAGGCTGGCCAGGGCCTATTTCATGATTATGTTATTATTGTTTGTAAGTTTACTCAAAAAGTATATATTTAACATCGTAAGAAATAAGTTACTTTCACTAATTTTACTTTTTATAACCTATACACCAAATCACCCAAAAAAACCTAGTAGGCGTACTAAGTAACAACTTTTATTGAAATAAACACAAAAACATACAATAACAACTAACTGACCTTTAAGAACTCTTAGCGGTTGGCCACAAGACACATGCAGCGCATTAGATGTTTGGACCACCGGCTGCAGTCGGCCATCACGCAGCTACATTCAACGTGTTAATTGATTTGAACATTTATGAAGAGTACCATAACCTTATTTTCTTAGGTCATAGATTTTTCTTTTTTCATGCTCTTTCATATGTCACAAGGGGTACTTTGCTATTAAAAAAATTATCAAGTTCCGGGGAAGGGGGGGGAAATATCTCGCAAATTTATGAACCGATTTTTAATTTTTTTTCATCAAACATTTTCTTTTTTCATGCTCTTTCATTTAATATGTCACAAGGGGTACCTTGCTATTTAAAAAAAATAAGTTGAGGGCAGGGGGGAAAGGGGGGGAATGTGAATGTAACGTTGAATTCAAAACAATTGGGCCCCCTACTTCAATAGATGATTCCCGCAAACTGCATATTTCTATCTATTGCGGTTTTTACATAAATAAAGATGCAAGTTTTAAAAAAAACACCCTGTATAGAAGAGCCTTTTCAGATGTCTAGTGTGTGTTTATTCTCATCAGATGCCCGAGGTCATCCGGTGTTGGTTTTATTGTGTTACGTACATGGCCATTTTCCAGGAAGCTCCTGTGTCATTCATAAAGTGCCTTTTGAAAACTTTCTTTGCACTTGAATCATTGACTCATGTTTCCAAAACTCCATAACACAAGATGATTTTTTGGAATCAACGCTTTTCAAATTGACTGTAATGGAAATAAACAACATTAGGAAATAATTGTCAATCAGCTGATAGAACAGTGAAATTCAATTCTTTGTTCTTCAATACCACGTAAATCATAGGCCTACTTCATTGCAATAAATATTCTGCTCTGTCATTTTGAAACGCCCCTGTATCTAAACAATGGTACCGAGTAATTTGCAAACATTTGTTTACTAGACCCGAAGGCTATGCTGCGGTCACTTTTCTCTGCTCCACTCACGCTAGGAAGATGTTCCCTTGTTGGGATGAGCCGGCAATAAAAGCGACTTTTGACATAACTGTGGCTGCTCCAGTGATCTCTCGTACTGTCATTTCCAACATGGTAGGTAACACTGTAAACGTCGTGTATGTTTTGTGTTTGTTGCAGGGGCGAGGAAGAGAGGTACGCGGCCGTCACGCAGTTTGAGTCGACGGACGCTCGGAGGTGCTTCCCTTGTTGGGACGAGCCTGCAATAAAAGCCACTTTTGACATAACCCTCGCCGTACCACAACAGAAAGTTGCCTTGTCCAATATGGTGAGCTGGTATCTATATAATCTTTGATCCTTTATTACTGAAAAACATAAATCTAACAGAGATATCTGTAACCTGGAATCCAAGTTTGACAATTTGGGGAGATACGTGTTGCAGAGACTGCAAGACACGCTCCTTGGCGCTAGCCTACTGCGCATTGGAATTGTTAGACTTGACTATTTCTAATGCCAATGACGATGTCCTTAACCAAACCATACACGTCTAAGAGGTGCATTCTGACTCATAACGTTGTTTTTGAACTCAGGACAGTCAGAATTATTTAATTTGTTTAAAAAATTCATCTTTTTCACATTGGATAGAGTAATAGACATTTACATTAGTAGGCTTACTAATAACAATAACATTTCTGCTGCATGGCTAAATTAATCTGTGAATTAAATTCAACATAAAATATTGTGCATAAAATATTTCAAACCATGTTTCGTCTTTTTAGTTTTGAAATAAATTTTGTTTTGCCAATGAGTTATTTTGTCTTTTAGCCAGAAATTGAAGACAGGATTGAAGGAGAGGAGAGAATTGTTAAGTTTGGAACGACCCCGATAATGTCGACTTATCTAGTAGCAGTGGTCGTTGGAGACTTTGACTACATAGAAGACACTTCGAGTGACGGAGTCAAAGTGAGAGTTTATACCCCAGTGGGGAAGAAGGAGCAAGGAAGGTTTGCTCTGCATGTTGCCACTAAGGTAAGCAACATTAACATACAGCAAAGCCCCAAAGGTAGACTGCATTTTTGCTGAATTGGCCATAATGAGTGACTCAAATCCATCCAAAGTAATCAGTTGATGGGTAGATTATTTGTGAGTTACTCATTTGATCATGCATTGTGTTATTTTTAACCTAAACTTCTATGTCTAATATGGATATTTCTTCTTCATAAGATGAGGGGGAAAATCTTTAAAAATACTCATAGTTAAATTGATAGATAATCCTGGCAGCTTAAAGGGTAAGATACGATAACTGTACTTAAATGTTAACTAAACTGTTGACTAGGGGTTTTCATAGTAAAAATTGCATGTCTAGGCCTAGTGTTGAAATTGAAAGTGATTTTATTTTCATAAGGAAAAACTTTGCTAACAAAGTTACAAATTTTTTTTTTTATATTTCAGTCTTATTTTATAACCTTGAATACAATGCGCCATTTTTTAATTCCATTTATGCTTTAAAATCTTACATACGGCATATTCTAATGATTCTTTATTGTAGCAAACCTAATAAAGTATAGCACATTAGTTTGTTCACGCTTTAGTTTGTGTCGATTCTAAAATCTTATTTCCTTTTTCATAAACCTCTTTAATACAAAACAGGAGAGTAAATACACAGAAATTATGTTTTACTGTGTAGGCCTAGGCAAATATTCACTGCTAAGTTCATCAGTGATTAAATATGAGTTTTAGTACCAGCCCAAGTCCGCTTCAACCCAGTGAACCATGAATTATTGTGATCAAAATATTTTCATTTAAAACTTTGCTGCTACAGGGGTATTTTTTCCCATGTCAATGCCAGTGGTATTTTTATATAGAGTGTTATTCAAACACATTTGGGAAAGCCGTCCTAAACTCTTATGATTAGGGGGTGCGCCGGAAATAGACTCCCCTCTATGCATTGTATAAGGTGAGAGTGTTGTATTGTTTAATTAAAAAATGTTTAGGCCTATTTACATAATAAACTTGTTTGTAGGTGTTGCCATATTACAAGGACTACTTCAACATCGCTTACCCTCTGCCAAAGATGGACCTGATTGCCATTTCTGATTTTTCTGCTGGTAAATATTTATTTTCCTCCTGGAAACTATTAACTTAATTATACTGTTGGGTATCTTACCAATTCAGACTAATAAAAAAAATATGTTTAAGAAGGTGTTATTGAATCTGCTTTAGTTATTCTTAAAACACGCTAAGTTTTAATTAAATACATCGACAATAATTAGCTAGCAAATGTTTCTCCATAAATATCACAATTTATGTTTTTCCTACAGTACATTAAACTTACAATTAATTAATATGCAAATTGAACTTTTAAAATATACGTAAAACATATGTATAGTGCTCACCTCTGAATCTGGAGGTCTTGGGTTTTATCCCAAGCGTAGTGTATCTAGAACGTAGACCCAAGTTTCATTTATCAATGTGCTATCAATTAATAATGCCATCTAACAAAAGTTTGACATTAATGACAATACAGTAGAACCTTTTTAATCCGAACCCCCGTAGTCCGAACGTCCACTAATCAGAACGCCTCATTGCTGTACTCTATACACAGTACAGTGGTTCTTTATTGTATACTGTATTTTTTTATATACACAACGTAATTGTTTCCATTGTAATGTACAGTACTGTTTATTCACTATGTTTACTACTGTATTAAATTAATACTGTATTTTACTTTATAAAGCATTTTTCAATTTTCCCAAAACAATTAACATCTATTTTAGCTAATGTTATGTAACAACAACAATATGTTCTGTAATCTGAATTATTCACTAGTCCGAACAACCTGCGGTCCTAATTAGTTAGGATTAAGGAGGTTCAACTGTATATAGTAACAAGACCATTGTTTTGCCTGTTCCCCTACAAAAATTTAAAAGTGCCAATGAGGTAGAAAAATACAAATTTAAGAAATATGTGTCATATCCTTTTGCTTCAACATAGCATAGTAGTTTTTTTTTCTGGTAAAGGCTTAAACAAAGTTGTAACAATCAAAGGATCACGGTAGCTTGGACTTGTGTTTTTTTTATCAACTTAACTTGGTATCTGAACAAATATTTTTGGAGCTGTGTTTTTTTATCAACTTAACTTGGTATCTGAACAAATATTTTTGGAGCTGATGACCCTTCAACAGCGGTTTAACATAATCTGAGATTACAACTCCTTTACAGAACGCATTACAGATTTTCAGTATTCTGCCTTAGTTTTATCTGTTGTGTTTTCTGTTTCTAGGAGCCATGGAGAACTGGGGTCTAGTGACGTACAGGGAGGTCTGTCTATTGGTAGACCCAGAGAATACTTCCACTGTTCGTAAACAGTTCATCGCTTTAGTCGTCGGACATGAGTTGGCTCATCAGTGGTTTGGTAAATATCCAAGTGTGAGACTTCTTAGCATTACAATTGTGCTCAGTAAGGTTTGATTGAATTTGGATTAAAGTTTATAGGCCTACTTATCTAAATTCAAGCCTACAAGGTAATTTCATTTTTGTGTAGTCACGAATCACTTAACATATAAATAAGAGGTTAACTTACCTTAGTATCGTTTTGTGACTCTTAATACCTCCTCTAAGAGCGGATGACGCCTACAATGTAATACACACACGTACACGACAAGTGATTAAATAAAATAAGCTAAATAAAATTTTTTTTCAACAGTTGTCATACAAAGTGGTTGTTTGTTTTACTTTGCTCACTACTATTCCTCTCACCTTGTGTTTGTTTCCCAGGCAACCTAGTTACTATGGAGTGGTGGACTCACTTGTGGCTCAACGAAGGTTACGCCTCATTTGTTGAGTTCCTTTGTGTCGCCCATCTGTTCCCAGAGTACGACATTTGGACACAGTTTGTCACCGACATGTACATACCTGCGCTCCAACTGGACTGTCTCAATAACTCTCATCCTATTGAGGTTTGTTGACTCCTTGGAAATCACGGCAAAAGTGATAATTTCTCACTCGGGTTTTCTTTGCAGATGTGTTCTGCAATAATTGCAACAAACAATTCAATTCAATTCAATTCAAATTATCTTTATTCATCAAGTACATTAGAAATATATACATGAATAGTGTCACAAAGTATATCAACAAGTTGATAATTATACTGTGAATATGAATATATAGTGAAAATTTCTTCCTCTAACAGCATTTTACATTCTTGCAGGTTCCTGTTGGTCACCCAAATGAAATTGAAGAGATTTTTGATGACATCTCTTATAACAAAGGAGCCTCTGTTATCAGAATGCTTTATCACTACATTGGAGGTGAAGTATGTACAAAATTGTATTTTGAACTCATAATCTACCATTATTAGTAGGCCTAATACACTAGTGATCTTCGAAACCAGAAATTTTGAATTTTGAAACGTAAACAAAAACTTAACCAAAGAAATCTTGTAAACCTAATTAACGTGATTGTAACCTGATGTACCTGTTTAATGAAATAATGTGTGTCTCAATGTAAAATTGATGATCCATTTATTTATTTATTTTATTAAATTCTTTAAATTTAGCTCAGGATTCATCAACCATGTAAATGGAATATTAACTGTAGGCTATAATGTGTATGGGAAAAAATTTTCTAAAACATTCATTAACATAGCCTAGTTAAATAAACATCGTCAATATTTAGTGGTCATGTTTTATTTCAATGACTAGAGTCATGTTGATCATATTGCTAATCATGTCCACCGTCTAAAACTTCAATAATGAGAAAATTAGATTTTTTTCCATGTAAAGTCTGTTATTTTTATTATACCAATATTTTCAATTGTTTGAATTTAGGTACAACATAAACTGTTTAGTCACGTTCAATCGTGGTCCAATTGTAAACATCATGGAGACTTATTCTTCCATGATTGTAGGGAGATAATAAATTTCCGATTGCTCAATCTTTGCATACACTTACAATCGCTAGAATAAAGGTTGTGCTCAATTTTTGGACTTGATGGTCACTTACTCAAGCTTTTAAGCGAGCCAATTGCACATCCCTGCTTAAGAGTGTAAAACCTCAAATTTTTTATGGCTTAGGAACCATCCACAAGCATACAAGGGCTACAAACGATCTAGGTGTTTTTGTGCCTGTGCAACCTAATGTTTAAACAATGAAAGGGATTTCCTTTCCGTCTTCCTTCCTTCATTCTTTTCTTTCCTCCTTACTTTCTTCTTTCTTCATATATCTTTTTCTTATTTCCTCCCTACCTCTCCTCCCTCTGTTGTGTATTCTATTCTTCACAACATTATCTTCATTTGTAGGACTTCCGTAAGGGCATGCACCTGTACCTGACGAGGCATCAGTATGGCAACACGTTTACTGAGGACCTGTGGGCTGCGCTGGAGGAAGCCAGCAAGAAGCCGGTGGGTGACGTCATGTCTACATGGACCAAACAGATGGGCTTCCCTGTCATCTCTGTTGAGGTTGTGGGACAGGAAGGCAACTCTCGCACATTCAAAGTGTCTCAGGTCAAGTTCAGAGCCGATCCGAACCAGGCACAGCCAGGTGAGTGGAAATATAATTATCTGTATAGTTGGAGAACTTGTGTTGTGAAGAAAGCCAAGCCACAGTTTAAAAGGTCTGAAGCAACTAAGGTTAAACATGGGCGGAGAGAGGAGGCGGTATCAACATGTGCATGATGTGTTTTCCATGGTATTGGCCCACCGCTGTCAGTCTTTTGCCTGCAGATCATGGAGAGTCTGAAACAAGCCAATCAGCAAACAAGGAATTTTACTCATACTTGGTGTGGGCCATAATTGACTTTTAAACAAAGTTTTTTTTTTTTTTTATGACGAGACTAATCATCCCAAGGGGAGAACCCAGCTACAATAGTAGTGTATGAAGTAAAAGTGACTTTGGTCTTGGAGTTTAAATAGCTTGCTTGGCTCTGACAAGACCTCGGTGGAAACCTTAATTAATGGACAACCTTTTATTTCATTTTTGAGGTGTTGCCTTCCAGATTACTTAACAATATTATAGAGGATGGATAACTTTTTGTTGCCATCGTAATCCTTGGTCGTCTGGATGGCGACCAGTTTCAACACTCAAGGTGTCATTGTCAAGCCTTAAGACGTGTTGTCACTCCTAGGAGGTCGTCATAAAGTCTTTAAAAATATACACGATTCACAAGCAAACATTTTAACGAATAAATAACACAGTATGGCCATACAAGAATACTTATTATCACGGCGCAGTTGATGGTTCAGGGTGTAGGTCTAGACTCAGTCTAGTGTAGTCTAGGCCTACACCCTAAACCATCAACCGTAAGTTACTGGGGTAAGTTATTGCTGATGAGGTTTCTGAGTTAGTTTCCACGTAAGATGCTCAATCGGTCTCTCTCATTTGTAGACAACTCGCTGTGGCTTGTTCCGATCAGTTTTGCCAAGTCAAACTCTCCTTCAGAGTCCTGCTTCACCACCATATTGAGAGAAAAAGAACTCACAGTTACACTGCAAGATGTCTTTCCTACAGACTGGGTAAGTTGTTGAATGTTTTGATGATATGTTTGAAGTTGATGTTGAGTTTTTGTTTAGGGACTTATAAAACACATTTTTAAATGCCACCGATATTTTAGGTGTACCTATTTTATATATTGGGTTATTTATAGGCTAATGTTACATGCAATGTCACATGATAATTTTATAAGATCGGACTTCTCTGTCTACGGTGTTATGTTGTGGCCTATTTTTAAATAACATGCTTTTTGTGGATTGTTGTGTAGTTATTGCTCAATATAAGTGAGAAAAGGTTTGAATGATTTTTGCTGTGATTTTTTGAAATTTAATCTCAAATACCGCAAATTAGAAAATATAATCGTAGGCCTATTAAAAATGTCATAAGACAAAATTTGCATGCAGTTTTTATATTTCCTGCAAAATTTGTCAGTGTAAGAAAACCCATAGATATTGTACAATACACAACTAACTACATCTTTTATTACCATTTTTGCAGGTAAAGCTGAATCCAGGCACAGTTGGCTACTATCGGACCAAATATCCTGCCTCAATGTTGGAACAGTTCAAACCATCCATACAAGACAAGACCATGCCTCCTTTAGACAGGCTGGGGCTGCTGGACGATCTCTTTGCTCTAGTAAAAATCATTTGACTACTAGATCTGATTAACTAAATTGTGATTTTTAGAGAACATTTTTGATTTTATAGTTCTGAACCAATAAAATCAGAAACGCCCATCACTATTTAATATGAAACTATAAACAATTTTATGGCCGTAGGCTTTCCAAGATAAATTGTTAAATGGGTTTGGTATTGCATAGTGACCCTAGTAAATAAAGCAAGTTGTCAAATAAAGTGGCTAAGTAGGCCTATACAAATTGATTAAACTTGAACGATTTCAATTACTTTCCTCATTTTAACGAGGCTTGAGTACTCTAAGTCTAAACACTTCTGACAAAACGATTATCGTGATAATAAAATATTAATGGGATCGTAATTGCATCATTACTCTAGTCATCATGAAAGTCACAAACGGGTCAATCCATGTCAAGTGATCAAATACCAATTACCTCACCATTTTTTACAGGATTGATCTTTTTACATTAGATACATCTATGCAAAATAAGCTTAAATATGAAAAAAAAAATTTTTATCTCATCTCGTTTTTTTGTTATTTTATTTTAAAGTTCCAAAAAAAGCGTGGTTTTGCGCTTTAAGGGATTTACGTTTTATTTAATATCTCAAGAAAGAATAAAGATAGAAAGGTAAAACAAAAACCATTCTTTTCAGGATTAAATTAGCTTTAATTTGATATACAACATGACAGTATTTAAAGTATTTAAAATTTCAACCCCCCAAACTCAAAATTTCAAAAGCCAATCCCAAAAAACGCATATGATTAAAAATTTTCAAAAAAATACCATTGATCCTTAATGTTATTAATAATTTATGTCCAAAAATTCAAGTTGGGATCTCAATGGGATCCATATTAAAATAATTTTTTTGTATAAGCCTGGAATGTAAATAGACAAGTCGTAGGCTACAGGGCTAATAGTTACATTCATTAGCTACAAAAATGTCTAAGTAACATAACATACAATAAAAAGCTAACAGTCTATAGGCCTAACCAGTTGTACAATACAAGTACAGTAAGCCTAAAGTGTCTAAAATTTGGTAACTTCACTTTTTAAATAAGATATCAATTGAAATAAATGGACTGCTACCGAGTCGTGAATCGAGCATTCTGATATTATTACAAAGCTTGTATACTTAATTTCTCCTTTCTCATTGTATAAACAGCAAATGGATGCACAGTATCTCAGAGATTACTATTCCAGTGGAAAGACTGTGCCTCGTCTTGGACCACAAAAGAGTAGTTTTCTGAAAAGTCCAAACTTACAACTGCTTCATCCTCTTGAATGTTTTCTTTCAAATCTTTGTAGTACTTGGATTGCTGACGGGATATGAATGAATGCTTCGTTAGTTCAACAAGCTGTTAAAAAAAACTGTCCACAAATTCTACAGTCTTGCAAAATGTCTCAAATGTACACCTATCCACAGAAACCCATTAATTGTATGTGATGGTCTCTATCATCCCCTCTTCAAAGTGGTTCAGAAGTACTTCTTTTAGTTTTAATACTCCTGGACACTTTACACATTTGTTTAGGTAGGCTAGCAGTCAGAGGTATTTTCTTGGCACATTATTTGTGAAAAACATTGTTTGTAATCGCCAAGATCAGTAGCTTCATCAATCTTCACCTCTTTCAGCTTTCCTCCAACAATCATTCATTTTACATTCTGTTGCATTGTGCACACGCAAACAGAGTGAGTTCCATTTCCCCCAGCCAAGATACAGTTCTTCGGTCTTAAATCAGCGAACTTTGAGAAACCAATTTTCACAGCTGATTCTGTTTTTTTAACAGTTCAAAGTATTCTTTTAAATTTAATAAAACCAGTCTCTTTTGCACATGTTCTTTCTATCCATTTACTTTCATCGCTACAAAATCATTCTTGCCTGGTATAATTCGACTCACATCATCAGAGTTGTAAAAAGCTTTGACTTAATCTACAACCTTCTGGTCCAAAGTTTTTCCTGGCTTTGGGTCTGGACATGACATTTTTCCCTTTTCTTTAACTAACGATTTAGCTCTTCTGGCCATCCTGTTACTGACACCAAACTCGATTTCAATTTTTTTACAGTCCAACTTTTAGGTAATGTTGTAAGTCTCAAGAACTCTCACTTTTTTTTGTAGTTTTCTGAAATTTTTCTTACAATGTCATTCTGAATCATTTCTGAATCTGGGTTAACTTGCTCTTCATCCTCATAGAAGCTTGTATCAAAGGAAATTGATATCTTATTTAAAAAGTGAAGTTACCAAATTTTAGACACTTTAGGCTTACTGTACTTGTATTGTACAACTGGTTAGGCCTATAGACTGTTAGCTTTTTATTGTATGTTATGTTACTTAGACATTTTTGTAGCTAATGAATGTAACTATTAGCCCTGTAGCATACGACTTGTCTATTTACATTGCAGGCTTATACAAAAAAATTATTTTAATATGGATCCCATTGAGATCCCAACTTGAATTTTTGGACATAAATTATTAATAATATTAAGGATCCATGGTATTTTTTTGAAAATTTTTAATCATATGCGTTTTTTGGGATTGGCTATTGAAATTTTGAGTTCGGGGGGTTGAAATTTTAATTACTTTAAATACTGTCATGTTGTATATCAAATTAAAGCTAATTTAATCCTGAAAAGAATGGTTTTTGTTTTACCTTTCTATCTTTATTCTTTCTTGAGATATTAAATAAAACGTAAATCCCTTAAAGCGCAAAACCGCGCTTTTTTTGGAACTTTAAAGTGAGATTACAAAAAAACCAAAGGAGATAAAAATATTTTTTTTCTAAATTTTTAATTGGTTTTATGTGTATATTAAATAAACCAAAAACTAACAAGAAAGAAAAACATAAGGGAAAATTTTATTTTTTATTTTGATCACTTGATATGGAATGACCCAAACAAAAATCTAATATCCTAAAACTTTTATGTGTTCCTAACCAATTACAGTGTTCAACAAACCCAACTTTATTTTAAATCATGTCAATTCTTGGTTTAAGTTTTTTGCTGAAAACCAGTAAAAACCTTCAACTAACCTATCTCTATTATTTGTTGGGTACTTTCGTATTATACGGAGGCCACTCTTAGACAGCACTGCGGCTGTTGTGTTAGTTTGGGTTATCATACATTTGTTATGACTCATCTGGTATCGTTCGATTCTAGGGGTGTGCGATGCATCGAAAATGCATCGAAATTTCGATTCGATTCGATTCGATGCATCGAATCGCGATTCGATTCAGTGGTGGTCAAAAAACGATTCGATTCACGAAGGAGTCAGTATCCATATACGAAAAACGCCTGCAGAAAGTCAATGCAATACCCGCAATACAGGAGCGCGTTGCTGTTGCGTTTCCTTTACGAAGGCGTTCTTATTTAATACATTCTTTGCATTAAATATAGCTTTCATTGTTTTATATTTTTTTGTTTTGACATTGCAAATGATTAGAGGTTTGTTTTTTGTCTTGATGTAAGCAGTGTGTGAAATATTTTACTACTGTGAACCTAGCCAAAACAAGGTAGGTTACTCCAAAATCATTTTAAAAATAAGTCCGAAAAATTTTTACTTAATACTTAACTAGTAAGATTAATGTTATAGACTAATTCATTTGGTATTTTTGTTAGGTGTCTGCCGGTCCCCGTCCCCGAATTTTTGTTGGGGCAAAAGAAAAAAAAAGAATAATTTATTTCCAAAGAAACACTCTTATATTATTATATCTATTATTACAGAGGAATTAAAATGTTCAAATGAGAATTAAAAATTAAGTTGGCTCACGACCTTTAAGAATAAAGACACAACAGAGCAATTGCCGCACTGCCACTAGCCAGAGCCAGGCCTAGTCGTCTACTGATAAGAGTAACAAGATAAAAGCCGTGACGCAACACTAACAGTGCAAAGAAAACAAAGTCAAAAGAATAGAAAGACTATTTATCCAGACATACTAGTATAATCATTTATTGTTTATTCAATACCTAATTTACCAAAATGGTTTTTATTATTTTACATAATAAATTATAAACAAAAGAAATATCTGATATAGTGAACAGATCTGTATCTTGGTTAGATGGGGTTAAAAAAATATATTTCTAAGATCCAATACAATATTTACAACTCACAAATTACATTGAATTAATTTCTTTGAAAATAATCTCTAACAGTTTTGTGTTTTTGAATAAATAAATATATTTCTTTGTCTCTACTTCCTTGTTTCATCACTTGCATTTTGTCAGCAATTGAAGCAACTGGGTAGCAACCGGGTGGTGTAAGAGGGGAGGGGGAGGGTCTATGACCTTGAATTCACACATCGTTGCCCGGGCCTGGCTGGTGAGACTGATTCATTGTTTTTGTTGACATACTACTACCCTTCCTTAAGAGAAAAAGGCCCTGCTGTTCCAAAAACATTGAGGGTAGTTTAAAAACCTTGACCTGTGTTGCCAAAGGCACTAGGCTAGAAGATAGCATTTAACTTTCTTGTCTCTTGATTTAATATTATTTTAATCTTCTATATATTATTTAAGAGTTACTTTTAGGGTACCTAATTAGTTGTGATATTGTTTGGCTTTATTTTATGGATTTTTAATTCTTTTCATTCATTAGCTATCAAAATCAGTTGTTTTAGGATTTTAATCTCTTGCAGTAGGTCTATACTACTGTATGACATGATATGCATTTTTTAGTCCTTATTAATTATACCATAAACAATGTTTGTATGTTATTTACTGTTTTTGAGTTTTATAGGAAATTAGTTTACACAATATCTTTTCTTCAATGAGTTCTCCACTTGACATGTTGCTTCTAGCCTATTACTATTTTAGGCCCTATAAAAATAATGCCTAGGTAAAGCTGTAGGCCTACTGATGCCAATAATAATTCTTTATTTATGATGATGTAACAAATAATGTAAGTGTGAGGTTATTATACTAAGGAGGTTAGGAGGCAGGGAATGAATGATACATATTGCATGGTGGAAACATATTATTTTTATTTTCTTCTTGCTTGCAGTCCTGAAGCCGGTCCACAGGCCCTAAACTTGTGATATGTAAATTTATTTCTTAATGGTCTTTTTATATTAAGTTCCATTCAAATTTGTTGTAATTTAGCTACCGGCACCTATTTAGTTATTTAAACAGTTATTAAAATGAGAATGAATGTCTTGATAAAAAAAATATTTTCTTCTTTCTTGCAGTTGAGCCAATTCAAGTAAAAATTATGAAATAGGCAAGTAAAGCAGCTCACTGGTATTTCCAGCAGTTATTCTAATACATGTGATTGAAAATAAATATTTTTTTACCTAAAATTCATATGTTAAGTACGAAATAGGCCTAATACCACATCAACAAAAATTTGTATTACACAAATGTGATACATTTTAATTATTGTTAATCCACTCAATTGACAATTATGAATAGAAAAATACCGTATTGCTTCGAATCGAGTTGCATCGAATCGAATCGAAAATCTTTAGAATCGAATCGTTGCTTCGAATCGAAAATTTTTTGCTGCTTCGCACACCCCTATTCGATTCATAACAAAACGAGGAAAGTCCTACAAATATATTTATGATAACACAACCGCCGCAGCGCCCTGTAAAATAAGTGGCATATTATAATACGAAAGTACCATTTTTTTTGTATGGATTATGTGATTGAGAAATTTTCAAAGTGATTAATTATATTCTGTAATCTTTAGGTACAAGCAGGACAAACACAATCTGTTGAAGCGTTAAAACTTATGGAAGCCATGGACCAAGAAGACAACTACACAGTTTGGTAAGTGTATTGAATATGGCTATTTTATTTATATATTATCTATATATTAATTTGAAACTGTTTTTCTTTGTGACAGCTAATTTGAGAGAACGGCTGGACGTAGAAACTCGGTAGGGGTCTCTAAAGAAAGGTTTTGGTCCGTAGATGAGCCATCAAAAGATAAACATGGTAAATTCCCTTGGGGCTCTGCCCCAGTGGCTTTTAAATTCCCATCCCATGTTATTCTTATGGAGGAAAAACAGGTTTTTGTGACAGCTAATTTGAGAGAACGGCTGGACGTAGAAACTTGGTAGGGGTCTCTAAAGAAAGGTCTTGGTCTGTAGACGAGCCATCAAAAGAGAAACGTGGTAAATTCCCTTGGGGCTCTGCCCCAGAGGCCTTTAAAGTCCCCTCTTCAGATTTGTTTACATCACGACCATATGCATACATTTACACTACTTTTTAATGAAACAGCTGTTAATATTTAAATTGTGCAATGGTTTTTGCTGATTTTAAAATTGATTTTCTTCTGCATCGTGTCATGTTTTGCAATATAATGTTGTAATATTGTAATGTTATAATGTGCAATCCATATCAGTGGAAAATCCTAATATCACAGTAACTCGGCTCCTCCTAATATCACAGTAACTCTTAAAATGATTTCTTATGGAGTTAACTTATGTCTATTGTATGAGTTCGTTTCTGCCTTTTTTACCACTTCTTGGAGATTGTACGTAGGTGTGTTGCACGTAGATGATATTCTTTGCGTATTGCATCTGTAGACGATACTTGGGTTGGTGTAAATATTACAATGGAAAAAAGAGAGAAATCCTGGACAATGTGATATAGGCCTACTAAAAATAAAACTGAATTATAAGAAATAGAAATGATGGTTTTTTTTTCATTTATAATCGTTATTATAGAGAACCTAATGCGGCTATGAGTGGGAAACATTTGTAGAAGCTTTTGAAAAAAGATAAGACAAACAATTTTGATTATATCTAACTGTTGTGTACATCGTGAGTATTTCCATAATCTTTGAGTCGACTTTTATAAAGTCATCGGAAATTATGACCGTCATTCGTTTTTAAATAACGCCTGTAATGCTTTGCAATTGCTCGAATTCGAGTAACAGGTACACTAGTAGCTTATTAATTGTAAAAATAATATAATAGATCTGTCATGTACGTGATGGATTGTTGTTTTTATAAATTAATCAAAGCTGGGCTTCACTGGCTCAGCTCTTTGGATTCAGCTGTGTGGAAGAAATATATCTTATTGCTTTGCTTCAGTTTTGATTTGAATACAAATTACCGGAAGTCAACTTACTGATGGTTTTTACTCCTTCAATTATCTTTGGAGAACCCAATTCTATGTTTTAGATTGCCAAATGCCAAAATAGCTTTCCCAATTAACTATTTACTACATTGGAAAGCTTTGTGGCTTAGTAAGATTTTAAAATGTCTCAACTTTTACTGAGTCCTGTTGTTTTAGGTGCACAATTGCCAATTGTCTAGGAAAACTGCAAGTTCTTCTGTCCAATACTGACTTTGAAGACAAATTTAAACTCTATGGACTTGGACTTCTAAAGAACATTGGACCGAAACTTGGATGGGAGGCGAAACCCAAGGAGAGTAAGTAAAACTTCTGAATTAGCATCTCTGCAATAGTGCTATGAATACACACAAGTCTATATTACATACTAGCAGAGTACCCGTCCTTCGTACGGGGTTGGCATATAAGTATAAAATGTTTTTTGCAGATTTACTCAAGCTTTGCGTTTGCAATGAGGGAGGACATAGTTTGATAAAATATACTTCTTTAAATTTACAGTATTCTATAGTATTACACATCTACCATAGACATAATTGTTCTACCACTTCACCTAAACAATAGAAAAAAATAAATTATCAAAGATTTGCAAAATATAACAAAATGTTCATGAAGTTAATAACATAAACATAACTCTTAGAAACAATCCTACTTTGACGGTTAGTTCTCATTGCGTATCACAGTTTTTTGGTGCTGCTTAGTTCAAATTAGCTGTCTTCATAAATGCAAAATAAATATAGTGCTGCACCCTGTTGGTAAATCTTATTACTTTTTAATGCTTTTGTATATAATAGAACCAACTTTTTTAGTTGAAACAGCTGACTAAATTCTTTAATTCCCTTTAAGAATACTCATAAGGTTAACATAGGGAACTACAGAGCCACTGGGGCAGAGCCCGAAAGGATTTTTGGGATAAGAATATGCCTATATGTTAATCAGGAATGTGAGCTATCATCATGCCAAATTTCAACCCAATCCGTCCAGTAGTTAATGCGTGATTGAACTTCAAACAAACAAACACACAAACTTTCACATTTATAATATTAGTAAGATAAGATAAGTAGAAATGGAAAGGTCCGGAAACTTTGGGAAATTTTCATGAAAAATATATTCCGGATCAGAATATATCAGTTGCTGGTTCCATTGGCGATTGGTAGGAATTGAACCTGGGTTTCCAAGGACTCCTGCGCTGTCAATAGCTTCATTGTTGAACATTTACTTGTCTACTCAGGTCATCTGGATACACTGTTGCGATCGCTGGTGCTTAACAGATTGGCCTCGTATGGAGACCAAGCTGTGATAGCCGAGAGCAAGGCAAGATTTGCTCGCCACCTCAGCGGAGAGAGCCCCATCCCTCCAGACCTGCGTGGTGTCGTCTACAGAGCCGTACTGTCCGAAGGTGGCGAGGAAGTGTACGACACGATGATCAAGGTAACTGTAAATATTGGGTATTTTTGTCAAATTTTTAAAGTTAGACCTTACCACCACGGGTTTTTTCATGGTTAAATGTCATAATCATCAATAATCTTATTTAGGGTTTTATTAGAGTCCAGGCTTAACTTAAATTGCAGTAGAACGTCAATAATCCGGACCGTCAATAATCCGGATTTGCTACCTTGACAGTTAAAATATGTACACAGTAACAATGGACTGATTGTTGCATGTGTGGCTCGTTATTGGACTTGCGCGGGAGCGCTGGGGGTGAGAGAATAGAACGAGGGAGTGTGGTTTGCAGGAGCGGGAGGGGAGGGGTGTCTGAAGGTCACAGCAACAAACAACCACTATCTATCGGGCGGCCATTTTATGTCTAGTCTATTCAATTCAATTCAATTCAAATTCTCTTTATTCATTCACAGTACAAGTTTTTATACAATGAATAGCGTCAAATAATTATTAAGATGAATTATGCTTTACTTATCGCTAAAACAATCATTATCTTTTCAAAACAAATTTTAAGCTTAAGAATAATAAACAAAACAAAATTAAATCAAATCATCTTTCTAAACTATCATTTATGATTTCTCTTGAATTCCAAAATTCATCCAAAGAATACAAAGACAATGAAAGGAGATAATTTTTCAATCTTTTTTTAAAAACGTCAAAACGTTTTTTCTCTATTATAACTTTAGGTAAATTAAATAAGAATTTTATGCCAATGAAACTACATTTCTTCTCAAAAAACTTAAATTTATGTCGTTCAACCTGCCTAGTATGCCTTAATTTGTAGTGTCGAATATTTGTACTATTAGTTTGAAGGTTTAATTTTTTTACATGTAATATAGTTTCATAAATATACAAGTCATAGACTGTCATAACACCTAATTTAGAAAAAAAATGGTTTCATTGATTGGCGTTTATTTTTAATTTTGAAAATAATTCGAAGTGCTTTTTTTTGATGATGAAGAATTTTATCCAAATTTTTCTGGGTAGTTCCTCCATAAATTGCTATACCATAGGATATGTGAGAATTTATTAATGCAAAGTATATGGTTTTTAAAGTATCAATATCACACACCCTTGACATTTGTCGCAGGGCGTATCTACCTTTTGACATTTTATCAATTACATGCTCAACATGCTTATCCCAATTTAGGTTTTGATCCAATATCAATCCGAGAAATTTCGTGTACTCCACTTGACTCAAGTTTGAATTATCAAGGTAAATATTCGGGTTCAATTTACATCTTGATTGTTTTGTGGAGAATGATACAAAATTTGATTTACTGTAATTTATTAGGAGATTTTTGCTACTTGAGAAATCATCAATTGATAAAAGATTTAGAAAAGATTTCAGTTCGACTTCCTCTTGGGAATTGCCTGTAACTGTGATGTTGGTGTCATCAGCATAAAGACACACTGAACTTCCTCCATCGACAGCTAGTGGGAACCCCCTCATATAACAAAGAAATAAAAGAGGGCCCAAAATAGATCCCTGGGGGACACCATATTTAATATTTTTGAATTCAGAGTAAACATTTTGAGTATAAGAGTATTTATTATTTGGATGGCAGAAATTATGCTGTATTTGGACACATTGTTGCCTTCCTTGCAAGTATGAACTGAACCACTTAAGCTCTTTATTATTTATATTTAAGCCGTGAAGAATTTCTATCAATTTCTTATGTCCATTTTCTTATGTCTAATTTCTTATGTTTCTTATTTCTACTGTATTTGTAGTTCTTCTCGCAACTGAATGTTGTAAACACTGTGTCGTCTGCTTTTAGTTATTCTTTTCAGTTAAAAGTGTACATCAGTATCGTTGGTTGATCATAATGTTGTGTGTCCATGTTAACTGTTTGTGCTCATTTTGTGGCTTATAGAAGTTAGGCCTATTGTTTGACTGTACTGTATTAGTTAGGATGGACGGGATTGAATTTTTAGTTCGGGACGGGATGGGATTTTTATTTCCTTCCCGATTTTCGGGACGGGACCGGACGGGATTTTTTTCTGTGCATAAAAAGAAAATACTGTATTGCAGTTACCAAAAAAGACATACAAAATCTATTTTTACCATTTGTGGCACTGATCTACAAAAACCTAAAAATAGGTAACAATTTAAGGGTACCTATAGTAACTTGTGACTCGCGGGTCACGGGGTGATCGTCGGTATGACTCGCGATCACGGCTCGATCATCGTCATGACTCCGCGGTCACGGCGCGATCGTCGGTATGACTCGCGGTTACGGCGCGATTGTCGGTATGACTCCGTGGTCACGGCGCGATCATCGTCATGACTCGCGATCACGGCGCGATCGTTGGTATGACTCGCGATCACGGCTCGATCATCGTCATGACTCGCGATCACGGCGCGATCGTTGGTATGACTCGCGATCACGGCTCGATCATCGGTATGACTCGCGATCACGGCGCGATCGTCGGTATGACTCCGCGGTCACGGCGCGATCGTCGGTATGACTCGCGGTCACGGCGCGATCGTCGGTATGACTCCGTGGTCACGGCGCGATCGTCGGTATGACTCGCGGTCACGGCGCGATCGTCGGTAGGACTCCGCGGTCACGGCGCGACCGTCGGTATGACTTCACGGTCACGGGATTATCGTCGGTATGACTCGCGGTCACGGCATGATCGTCGGTATGACTCGCGGTCACGGCATGATCGTCGGTATGACTCGCGATCACGGCTCGATCGTCGGTATGACTCGGGGTCACGGCGCGATCGTCGGTAGGACTCCGCGGTCACGACGCGATCGTCGGTATGACTCGGGGTTACGGCGCGATCGTCAGTATGACTCGCGGTCACGGCGCGATCGTCGGTATAACTCGCGGTCACGGCGCGATCGTCGGTATGACTCGCGGTCACGGCGCGATCGTCGGTATGACTCGCGGTCACGGCGCGACCGTCGGTATGACTTCACGGTCACGGGGTTATCGTCGGTATGACTCGCGGTCACGGCATGATCGTCGGTATGACTCGCGATCACGGCTCGATCGTCGGTATGACTCGGGGTCACGGCGCGATCGTCGGTAGGACTCCGCGGTCACGACGCGATCGTCGGTATGACTCGGGGTTACGGCGCGATCGTCGGTATGACTTGCGGTCACGGCGCGATCGTCGGTATAACTCGCGGTCACGGCGCGATCGTCGGTATGACTTGCGGTCATGGCCAGATCGTCGAAATGACTTTGTCTCCTGCGTTTGCGGACCTATCGCTCGCAATAACGGCATTATCGGCACTTGCGAAGCAGAAAAATCGCCGACGATCGGACCAAATCCCATCCCGAAAAATTCCCGAGTCAAATGTAATCCCCTCCCGATAATTGGGAATATTTTTTTCCCTAAAAATTCCCGAAATTTCGGGACCCGTCCATCCCTAGTATTAGTACAGTATTGTCGATCATTTATTGCGTGCCTGTGTTTACTGTACATGAACTGTCTTGTTTTCTTTGTTTACTATTTTTTGTTACAGTTTAAATAAAGTGCATTACTGAACTAATTAAAGTTTTACTTGTATTTTCCTACTGCTATTGTTTATATAGGTAAATTCTCAGGGTTTTGTTAACAGTTTTTTAAGTTTTAAGGCATACAAATAGCGTATGTTTGAAAATCCGGATTTTTTGATAATCCGGATGGGGTCCGGTCCCAATTAATCCGGATTATCGACGTTCTACTGTACGTATTGTTACATACATTTAATATTGTGGTAGTATTTGAAGGCAAAATAGTTCAATAAGGACAATTTCAATAGTACAAAAACATTTAAGGACCATACCAATAAAGGATGATTTTATTCTTGAAAAAAACATCTGTATGTACATCTTGTACCTTTACATTACATGCCAATAAATATCATTCATACGATTTAGATTATTATTCTTTCACACCTGAAATGTCCCACAATATTACATTGTTTATTATGATTTTGGTTGTGATTATTAATTATTTTTGTTTTATTTTAAAAGCTAATTGTTAAGTAAACTTTATCTAATGTAAATTGGTTTTCAGCTGTACAAAGAGGCTGACCTTCATGAAGAAAAGTCTAGAATAAGCAGTGCGCTGGGTAACCTCAAGGACCCAAAACTACTCAGCAAAGTATTGGATTTCTCTCTGTCGGTAAGAGAACATCTGCAAACATCAACTGGATAAAATCCTTTGATTTTACACAAGTTAGTCTTTAATTTATTTTGTGATGTGACACCGCAGAGTATGTGTAGTACACCATCATTTCTTATGGTTATGAGGCAGGCACTATTTTGAGTTTCAACAGACATTCTGTACAAGGTGATGAGATTGTTTGTGAATTACTTGTCACAGCAGCTGACATTTAGCGGCATTGGGTTTCCAGTTAGTGATTTGTGAGGTGTGCAAGTCTGAGATTTTAGGAGACGTCTCATGTAATGTTATATATAATGTTATATTATAAATTATTTATTTGCTCACAATTCTTTTCAAAATGCAATTTAATGTTATGGTATAAAGTGAAATATCTTTTGAGGTACATTAAAATGATGAAAGAAGAAAATAGAGTTTGAAAAAAATATTGCCTCACATAAACTTCTTCAGGAAACATGATTTTTCGGAATTACTGTAGTAATTTCATAGCATTTAAATAAATATCCACATAATAAATAACTAGGTATATTATATTCCAATAATAAATAACTTGAACTTATTAAAACTTAATTAGGATAAAAGTTATTTCTATGTACAGATGTAAATATTTTAATGGGGATATTTAGAAATTTGATGTCAAAAAAAAAAAATACTCTAGGGGGAATTTGTAGCTAGGATGTTGCACTTATTAAGATAAAATATTTTTGGCTTAAAATGATAAATATTTTTAAAGAACTTTTTGTAAGTTAGGCCTATTTATAGCTATATTTTTTTCAAACACTTCAAGAAGGAAACCTTAAAAAAGAGAAAGAAAGAAGGAAACCTTGGTCTGTTCCAGCCTGATGTGCGAGCGCAGGACACAATCTACTTTATCATCTCTGTGGGTATGAGCAAGCAAGGGCGAGATCTGGCTTGGAACTTCATCAAGGATAATTGGGACACATTTGTCAAAAGATATGAGGTAATGGAGTAAATACTTGCCGTCTTCATAGGTCTGGATATCAACTAAGCCTCGTATATTCCTCATGGGTTCCTCTTATTCCACCATTTCTCTCTTTTTCACCCACTGATAACCTTATTTATTCATGTCCTTCAAAGACTCTTCCGTGGGTTCCTTCCCTTCGTCAATCTCAACTTAATTTTTCTAGGAATTTTCTCTTTTACCATTCTCTTAGGCTTATCTTTTTTGTGTCACAACTATCTTCTTTTTCGAGTGTTCTTCATCTGCTTTCGTACTATATTTAAATACAAATTTTCAATTGTGTCCATGATTTCTTTGCACACGACAATAGCTTGGGTTGCTATCATTTAAGTATTTGATCATTTTTTACTTTTATTTAAGTTCTTATTTCTATTTCTTAATGGGCTGTCCACCTTTGGCTATTCAGCCCTTAAAATATTGGATTCGTTTGATAAATACTTTTGAATTTATTATTCTTTTTTAGTTAAAGTTGTCCCCCAAATGAGTAAAACCAATTAGCTCTAGGCCTACCATGTTATTGCTTAAAGAGTGTTGTTGAACTTTACTCAGAGTTCCAGTTCACTGAACAATTAACAACAAGTATCTAAATATATAAAAGGCAAATGGTTTTATAATTGGAAAAAGCATTTTAATTTTCGATTGTTTGTCACACTGTACATAAGTGGAAATTCCAAACCTGCCAGATTCATCATTAAAGCTTCACTTTCACAAGCAAGATATAGCAACCTTTTGTATTAGATAATGTTAGACTTGTTTTCCTCCAGGGTGGCGGTGGCACGTTGTCAAGACTGGTTAAGCGGACGACGGAGAACTTTGCGAGCGAAGAGAAGGCCAAGGAGATTGAACAGTTCTTTGCAGATCGACACGCGCCGGGCTGTGAGCGCAGCATACAACAAACCTACGAGAGCATCAGAGTGAACGCGGCGTGGCTTGCTAGAGACAAGGTGTCCATGCAGGAGTATCTTACCAAACTGTACGTATACTTCATTTCACAGTTAAGTAGGGATGGATAAAGTTAGGCTATACTTTATTTCTTGATTTTCATTGCAAACTATGGGGACTGGAGTTTTCCAGCCATTACTTAGTACAAATTAATAAGTTTGGGACAGGACAAGATTTGCATTCCCTTCCAGACTTTCAAAACAAATTTTTTTTTCTCGTGCAGTGAAAAGTTTAATCTTTAATCTTGTGTAAGTATTATTCCAAATAGCAATAAGAATGATCAATTTTCAGTCTGTTCTATGTCACGATGACTGTAATCCGTGATCGGGATACTATCAATATTATCGTAGATTGTATATTATAGTAGACTAGATTTTAGATTAGAAACAGGCTGTCTTAACTTATTTCTTATTTGATAAAATTATCTTTGTTACTATTTTATGTGAAATATTTAATTACATTTTAATATTATGTAGCAAATGACGAACCCCTATTGCACTGTAAAATGTTTAAAGGGTAATAGAGATTCTTATTCTTATTCTTGTGGTCACTTAGACAACATCTCCAACCATCATACCAGCGGAATTGGAACATTTGCAATATTGGAGACACATTATTGTCACTCGCAATCATAACAAAATCACTGACATCGGAATAAATCCCGTTATAAGAAAATCTTGAATCATATGCAATCCCGCTTGAAGTATGGATGTATTTTTCTAAGAAATTTCCTAAAACTTCAGCATTCTCCATTCTCTAGATCTAAGGGTCAAGAGTCAATCTATAAAAAATATTAGTGACCTACCTATGTACATCTCTTTTTTTCTTGACTTATAGCATTTAGTCAAAGCTTATAGTTGATGAGTTAAAATGTGTTAAAATAGAGAAAAAATCAATTTCTAAAGAACAGTTAAAACTACAACAACAAAAACTATCAACGTATTTATTATTACAGTTAAATGTTGCTTGTAAGTAAAATGTGTGTTTGATGTGTAAGTAACTATTCTGCTCTCACGCATTGCTCAGCAAAACGTCATTTTCACACAGGTTGCACACAAAATGAACCCAGTTGAGTATTGCCAAAGGACCGAGTTTGCTGATGTCAATCTCTGATTTCTGTCGAACACAGTTTATCTGTTTGAAAAATTACACTAATAGAATGACTTTTGTAAGTTTGCCGCAAGGATCTTCAAGCATCTACAGTATAAATTGCTTTTAGACAGCAGTCGAGACTTCCAAGAGAATTTGTTAACAGACCTAGGCATGAAAGTCCTACTGATTATGTTGTATGTCTCTGTCAACAAATGTCTTCAATCAGACCTGTCCAAGCCTCACGCCATGTGTATTCTTAGAAAGTGCAAAGATACTTTTCTTAGAGATGACTCTGTGTGGCGTGCTCAACACCCTCCATACAATGGACCATAACCTGTTATTTCTTGTGAAATAAAATAAAATCCTTAGCAATATCGCAGAATTTGAAGCCAGCATATGTGTTACCCGACAAATGTGATCAGTCAACAATCAAAGACAAAGACCCTCAAAATATATAAACTCCAAACCCATTCATTAAACTTTCAAACCTGTCATCCTTATCCAAGACCTATACAACTCGGTCTGGTCAAAGTGTAAAACTCAAGCTTCCTGGACTTCCTTGGGAGGCTGATATGATGGCGTCAACTTTGCCACACCAGCTGTGTATTTATCGTTTTATTTCAATATTTATTTTGCAACAGCTGTTGTAAATTTTTTTTATGTTTTCTTTTGTTTCTGTTATGATATATGGTACCAGAGTCCTTTATATTATTGGTTTGTCAATAAAACGTTTGCGTTATATTCTTTGATATAGTGGTGCTCTATTTTATGTGGATATAACATTTCTTATTTCACAGTAACAAAAATTAAAGGAGAAATAGTAGTTTACGCAACGATTGCGTAAATATAGTGTTAACGACTCAAGTAGAAAATTTAAGGTACGAGCCTTGAAAACTTCTACAACCGTCATTATAGTAGTTTACGCAACGATTGCATAAAGATAGTGTTGACGACACGAGGAGAAAATTTGCAAGTGCCTTAAACACTACGAGTGTCGTTAACACTATTTACATGAGTTGCGTACACTACTTTACGGAAGTTGCGCACACTACTTTACCTACGACAGTGTTTTAATTACTAAATATCCCTAAAGGTTATGTTTTTGTTTATAACTTCTCATTGCCGCTGACAGTGATTCAACAAAACATTGTACCAAACGCTAATTGCACCACTCACAATTAAATTTACGAGCCTACGACAGCTTTTTAATAACAAACAATCACTACTCATAACTTAGAGTTATGTTTATGTGATGAAACAAAACATTGTACCAAACACTAATGCACCACACATTAACAATTAAATTAAAATTGGTCTAAACAGCTGATTAATTGATGTTCAAAGCATTACAATTTTACCTCTTCTCTCACAATCCTTGATTGGTCCATTACCTGTGTTGAAGTAAAACAACAATGCTGGTATGTGAATCTTTTCAATTCTAAGAACTGAACTGAAACGGCTACTTTAAAAAACGGTCGTAGGTAATTAAATTTTAGACAACAGTAACTCATTCAACTCTAAGCTTTAGATAGAATTTCTACTTCAATATCATAAAGTCAATGTTAAAACTTAAATTAGTATCCATGCATAAAGTCCAACCCTAAATGAGGTAAGATTGTGGACACTTTTGATTGATGATTGTTTGTCTTGTTCGCAGGTGAATCGCCATTCATTGCTGCGTGAAACCAAAGGAGCAAGGGTAAAGTTACCCAGAACTTAGCACTTGTTGTTTTATTATTTTTGTTTTATTTTTGAATACACCACGATTTGCTCTTATTTTGTTACCAGCTCTCATATAACTATGGTTTGCTCACATCCCTAATACTGAAACTAAATTAAAAGACTTGAAACAGTACCTTTTGCTAATTTCTGCAAACAAATCACTTGTATTGATGTATTGTTGATGTAATTGGTGCAATAAAATTTAAGCTGTTAACGATCAAGGTATTGTATTATTTATCTTAAAAGTATTGTCTTTTATTTAAATTTAAGCTGATTTCACCTAGGCTTGCATTTTAACAAAACAATGTTTGCGTTTTGCTTTGCTCAAAGTTTCAGTTTAGTTTTAAAGATAAAAATCTATTGAATCATTTAATATATTTTATAGCATTATTTGTTCACTTTTTAGGTAATTTTTGTTTAAAGCTTACTAAATAAAGTAACAATCCATATATAAATCCCAAAGTACCCATGAACTTTTGAGAAAACTACACCCCCCATAAACCATATACTTAATGTTCGTCATGACGAGAAACCTTGCACAAAACTATCCATTATTTCATAAATTGCCCTTTAAGGTTGTAATTCCTTTCTAAAGAGAACTTTCCATATACCTAATGTTAAAAATACCTCAGTTGTACTTATTTGTTTGTTAATTCTTTCAATTTATTACCTTATTGAAATCAAGTGTTGTGATTTGTTTGTATTACTGTATCAATAGTTTTATTAATTCAACGGGGTGAAGCTCGTGGGTAACAGCTAGTACTTTATAAAAATTGTTCAACTTTAGTAACCTTTATAAATGCATTTCTCATGCCATAAAACTTGTGCTAAACTGATTTAAATCCTAAGGTAGAAAATGCTTTTACTGCAAGTAATTTTAATAATGTTAATGGAAATTTATATTTTAAATTTGAGTTTGTTTTAATCAAGAGGCCTACTTTCTTTTTTAGTTGTTAAACATTATCTCAAACCGCTGGTAGAAGCTCTTTATGGTCTTGGCATTTTGACTGAATGTTAGTCATATTTTTTATACAAAGTTTCTATTTTATACTCGATTTAGGTGTGCTTAGAGTGAATCTAGACTGAATTTTTGTAAGTTGATGTACATCTTTTAGAAGGTCATAGGTTTGTATAATCCACCTATTTAATCTTGCCGTGTTACCAAGAAATAAGTTTCTATCATAAACAAAAATGCCCCTAAATGGAAGTGTATTCATAGTCAAAATCAATGTACTGAATTATGTATCTCATAGTCTGATTTAAGTGTCAGTAGAGTCGAAATTTGATAATCAAAGTCATTTTTAGCCTAGTATTTGAAGTAGAGTTCAATCTAGTATTTGACTATTACCCAGGAAAGAAACCAACAACGAAAACAGTGGTTTTAATCATTAACAACGCTTGAGGCATTAAATTTTGCACTGCTATTTATTTCTCTGTTGGACTGACCAATATTTATTTATTTTATATTAAGTACAAACAAGTGTGTGTTGCAGAACTGTTTTGATTTGCTTGTAAATTATTTTGTTGTGAAATTTGTATTAAAATTGTGTTTATCTTTTGAAATGTTTGTTGTTTATTCAATTCACAGTTAACTTACTTGTTTCTAAAAATCCTAGAAGTTTAGTCAGTTGCATAAGGTGATTATGTAAATCTATAAAATTAATGTTGGAATTAAAAGCAGTGCCATGCTGTTGTAAAGCCTGTTTGGATTTGTGTTTGAGGTCTGGTTGAGGAAGTCAGTGCCATCCCCATTTGACTTCAATAAATCAATGTCATGATCCATACCAACCACAACTCTTGACCGGTTCAGAGAAATCATGTCAAGCAGAGTACAAGTAACAAAATGAAACGTTAGACAGGTCCATTGGGAGACCAATATGCACATGGCTTCAACAACAAGGTCAAACTCATGGATTAAAAACCGCTGCAAACTCACCTCCATAATCTTCACAGAAGTCACTAAAATCCAAACAGGTATATCTCATTTCGGATTTGAAATGTAGGCTACTTTATTGACATCCCAAGAACAAAACGACCTGCTCAAAAACGAAAAGATCTCAAGGTTCGGGCCGGTGGGTGTGGCGTACCCTCCAAGCCTGCGTGGCGTGAAAAGGCCCAAGGTTTTTGGGATGTCTATAATACTTTTATCTGAAGATGGCGACCATTCAAAGGTAAGTATTTTAAGAAAAATACTAATCTAGATGAGTGACGCGATCTTTTAGTCTCGTTACTGACAAAGGCTGACATGTTCCTTAGACAGAACTGTTAAATTAATAGCCCATGCAGCCAATGGAAACTAAGGGGCCTTCAGTCTGGTAGTGGAATCCGAGCCACATTTTGACCTTGTAATTTACAGAAAAATAAAATAAAATAGTTGTAAAAATAGTTTGGAAAGCTTAAAATACTAACAGATTTAAAGCCAGTTTCTCAAAATTTCCTGGGGGAGGACCCCCAGACCCTTCAGTAGATCTTGCCACTCCAGTCAAAAGTCTGAAATGACGCCCATGGAGGGGCCCATGTAACATGGGCCATGTTTACATGCCACTGAGCTCGAATTGGTTATCAGGATAGTACTGCAATAGTAATCAGAAACTTATAGCCATTAGTTTCTATAGCACCAGTAGGTGTTTTTATACAGAAATATGTGGCGAGATTAGGATTATGGATGATTAGTAGTGTGGGTACCTCATATAATATTAGCCAGTAATCAGACACACATAATACTTCTATATTATACTTAGGTTACATAAGATAGGTTCAGTTCAAAAAGTGTCATTAAAAATGTGTGTAGTTTCAGAGGGTTTGACCCCCAAATGCTTTTTAGAAGTTGTGTTTAGTTTAAAATTCAACCTCAACGCCAGCGTCCTTAGTATAACCTTTTAGACATTCCATCCCCCATTTTAAATTTGAAGCCAGATTTTTTATCAAAATCGTCATAGTTGATGTGAACCACCCACAGATTGCGATCTAAATTACTAAATTCTGTCAAATAGACAAACTTTTTTACCAAGTCATACTTAGGGAATGGCATATGTTGAGTTATAGCAACTGTCATGCTATGACCCGTCAACCTGGTCAGAAACAACAAATCCTATACTCTGATAGTCTGATATGAGCAATGTTTGCTTGTGTATGTATGTATGTATTGGTATAAGGTATAAAATACAATTTTAGACACTAGCGCATTCTGTGACTAGCTCACACAACAACGTTCTTTTTTAATAAACGCGAACACAGACCACGGACGAAACCCTGTTAAACAGTAATCATTGACTTGTTAATACGCTCAACGCTGCAATCGTGTTTGGAAAACAAATAATATAAAAGCTACATAGGAAGTGTGCACACTGCATACATACATACTTTGATGCAGCAAAGTAAAGAACAGTTTTTCCAACTACTATATGACGTCACCAATCATCATATCCACAGACCAAGCGACGCAATTGTGCGTCAGACTTCCCTGTTAGACCACTACCACTGCAGATAAATTTATTGCCTTCAAATAGAACATTACAAAGATATACGCATTTTGATAACATTGGAACACCGACGCAAATATGCGTCGTCAGTACATACATATACGTCGCTATATAAATGAAAAATTGTGTACTATTGCGGTAGCAAAACGTAACTACAGTAAGAAGCATTGGTTTTTCCAGAATAATAGCGTACCAATTTGATGTTTTTATGTTAACAAATCAGTGTAGCAGAGCAAGGTTGAGTGAATGTATGTTCGTGTAAAACAATTCGGCCCGTGTGTGGCGCTATTTCCAGTAGAGTAGAGTATTATACAATTATACATGATGTGCCATGTAATTTAAATAATACAAGTAGACATCTCATTTAGAGATCAGAGATCGAGTATTTATTTTGGATATTGTAGACATCCTATATTTACTTATTATTACTTAAAACATATGAAGGATTGAATTTGGAAAAGTACTGAACTCCGCCCTCCGCCACGGCCACCTTTAACTCCAGGCCGCGGTCTGGTAGAATCAGAAATCAGAATTATTTATTTGTCATTGGACATTACAAAAAATAATTGACAATTTTGTCATGTTTAGCATGGCTACACCATCGATCTCTATAAAGATCGATGGGCTACACTCAGGCTAGATATTACAAATAACATGTTTAATATGTTAATTTTTTAGGTGTCAGCTCTGTGGATTACCAACAGAATGGAATGTGATTTAACAATAAATACATTTTATAAATAAATATGATAATTTAACAAAGAATAAATTATATGAACCAACAATAAAATACTGATAACAGATATTAAGATACAAATTTATAAAAATTAACAAATGTTGATAGACAATTAATAATATTGAATTGACAATGTCGCAAAAGTAGGGTTGTTTAGTGTCAGACTTCCCATTTAATAAGATAACATGGCAGAGGAGACATCAGCTCATTAATTCGTACCTTATTGATTAAAATTAAAATTTATCAACACAGATTTATTAAAACATTGAACATAAAACTTAAAGAATTGAAAACCAAAACAAAGATTAATTGAAAATATATGTCTGTACATTTAAAGCGGAGTCAACTTTCAATTACAGGCCTACCTTAGGGCTATGCCTCATAGATCTATTAAAGCAATTCCTTTTATCATTAGATACAAAATATGGACTAACACGATCGGGTGACATTTAATTGCGAAGCATTCGTTTTCGTTTTGGCTTTGAAACTTAGCACACTTATGCAAACCAACTCCTGTTCTGAATATAAGGTTTTAACTTACTACAAGATTCCCGTACGTAGATCGGGCAAACAGCCAGACAAACCAGCTGTACAACCCCACTTGCGACGTGACTTTGCCACTTCGAAGGCCACGGCCTGGGGCCCATTTCATAATACAGTAAGCTACAAGTTACAACTTGTAACTTGTAATTTCCATTAGATTTGCATTGGGCGATCAGCTGATTTACTAATAATATTAGTTTGTACTTTATTATGAAATGGGCCCCTGGAGTTAAAGATGGCCGTGATTGTAAAAATGACAATGCCTATTGCATTTACCATATACCGAATGGCTAATAAAATGATTTATCATTTACATCTAGTGATATTATATGTTTATTCATAGGTAAAACAACTGAACATTCCATCCCCATGTTAAATTTGTAGCCAGTTTTTTTTTATCAAAATCCTTATAGTTGGTGTGAGCCACCTACAGATTGCGCTGACCTAAATTACTAAATTATGCTGAATACACAATATTCAAACTTAGGAAATGACTTATGATGAGTTATAGCAACTGTTTACATGGTTAGTAACAACAATAAGGTATACACTAGAATTTTACACACTAGCACATTCCTGCAACTGGCTCACACAACACAACTAAGTTACATCCTGTTTTAATAAAATATTGGCTACAGCTGGTCCATATAGATGGAAAGTCAACTTTAGTATCCAATAGTCAATGATAAAACATACTATGTTCTATCTATGGTTTAATTTTTAGATACTGTTATCCCAAACAAAACGTTAAGAATATAATCAGCGATCCTGAAATTTAGTTTTTTTTACAAATCTCCATGCCTGTCGTTATTCTTCCTCCCAATGAAAAAAGTGTCTAGGGGAGAGGAGAATCCAATGAATGATTCCATGAAGAATGAAGAAGAAAGGAATCGTTTCGTTTGTCATCTTCTTTCTTGTGTTGTGTTGTGACTAATAAAATTACAAATAACATTGTTGAGTTGTGTTGATGTTTACGTTTCATATCACATAACTGGTGGGTGAAAACTATTTTATGTACAAAAAAATGTACTATTTTCAGATCGATGGGCTCTGAATTTTACAATATTTAGTTAAAATAATGCCCAAGGAAACTTCCTAGTAAGTTAGTTCACTTCCTATTGATAAATATGGTGCAGGCAAGGTTATGAGCAGCAAGTTACAAGGTCAGACTCGTTTTATTCTGTAAGGATTTTATTACTTTGCAGTAAGATTACATCTTAACTTGGTTTTCAGGAACAGATAGGCTACCGTAGTTGAAAACTGGCGATAACATCCAACAACAAATGATACTTGGTGTTCACCAATACATTGGTGGTCTTTTTATCAACGATGGAAAATTCAGAGGAGAATCTACCAGCTAACCTGGAAAAGTTGCAGATTAGCCCCCTTAGGTAGGCCTACGATACTAAAATTAAAACATAGGGCCTAGTCTTTAGAGCTGTTAGCTTTAAGATGGCTTTTGTGTCAAGAATCAATATCAGGTAGCAAACTAGCCTAATACATTAAAACTTGGTGGCCTATAAACTTATTTAACTTGTGTAGGTGGGTCCAGGTACCTTACTAAATTGTTACCGTGTAGCATCAAATCCAATCGATAAGTAGGCCTAACAGCCCTAACAAAAAAGTACCGGTAGGCCTAACTTAGGCCTAGTAAGTTATGGAGAATATTAAGTTTAGGCCTAAGGCTATAGAAAATAAATTAACTTAATATAATAGGTATGCCTAACATGTTTCAGGTGACATTTTCGTTAATAACCTTAGTTACTCGGCTGTATTTTTCCGCAAATGTCCAGCAATAGGCCTAGATTTTATAAGGCGCGCACACTACTTATTGCTGACTTTACCCCCCCCCCCCCTAACTTAGACCCCAGGTACATGATATTGATACTGTCGTGTCCGTTAGTGTGTCTTCTATCAGGTGACATTATCGGTAAACGTCCTCGGATGTATTTTTCTGCAAATGGCCAGCAATAGATTTTAGAAGGCGCGCGCACTACTAACGTCTTAAACCCCTCCTAACTTAGTCCCCAGGTACATACAGTAATATTGATACTGGGGTGTCCGTTAATGTATCCTCTATCAGTTGACACTATCGGTAATAACCTACTCGGATGTATTTTTCCGCACAAGGCGTGCACACTACTTATTGCTCCATTTACCCTCCCCCCCCCCTAACTTAGTCCCCAGGTATGCCTACATGATATTGATACTGTCGTCCCCGTTAACACGTTCAGTGCGACGGGCGCCGATCGGCGGCCGAGCGGTGTCCCGTTACGCGTGCGGCGGACGCCGATAGGCGCTTCGTGTATTAGCATCGTGTTTGGCGCCAAGATATCAGCTAATCGTTCATTTCACGTGTTTTTGCGCTACGGTGTGTTGTTGTTGAAGAGTTAGGTTATGTTTTAGTGTTGATCGTTTGTAGTTTTGCGATAGTTCGTAATAGTGAAAATTATGGATGAAAATCCAGGCCCTTCAAACCGTAGGCCTAAAAAACGAAAATGTAACGGTGATTACATCGATGTAGACAATCTTACTGTTAGAAAAAAAATTGTACTAAAAAAATTATAAAAATATATAAATATATTCAAAGGAAAAAGGACTTGTTTTCTCTTTGTAGCAACAGGCCGTAATGCTCGTCAACCATGACGTCGCGATAGAAGACGGCAATGACGTAATTTAAGGTTATATTTTTGTTTTTGATGAAAAGAAAAACAAGCAGCTGATCACAAACGGCAAACATTACGTCATTGCCCACTTCTATCGTGACTCTTCTATCATGCTAGACGAGCATTACGGCCTAGCAACCGATTCATACAAGGACGCCTATAGGCGCCCGCAGCATCCAATACCAAAACTCTCAAAATTTCTTGGCTGGAGGCTGTGGACGCCCATAGGCGTCCATATATAATTTTTATATGTATTGGCTATATTTTACATAGAGTAAAAGCTTTGGCATGAATAAACTTATTTTAAATGTCTTTGAAAAAAATAATGATGCAGCCACTGGGGAATGGATCGTGAATTCTTCTATAGCAGTGAACGTGTTAATGTGTTCTCTATCAGGTAACATTATCGGTAATAACCTACTCGGCTGCATTTTTCCGCAAATGGCCAGCAATAGATTTTATAAGGCGTGCTCACTACTTATTGCTGACTTTATCCTCCCTAACTTAGTCCCCAGGTAGGCCTACATAATATTGATACTGGCGTTCCGTTAATGTATCCTCTATCACTATTGGTACCGGTAATAACCTACTCGGCCGTTTTTACCTTAAAACGGCCAGCAATAGATTTTATTAGGCGGGCGCACTACTTATTGCTGACTTTACCCCCCCTTAACTTAGTCCCCAGGTACATGATATTGATACTGTCGTGTCCGTTAATGTGTCCCTATCAGGTGACATTATCCGTTATAACCTACTCGGCTGTATTTTTCTGCAAATGGCCAGCAATAGATTTTATAAGGTAGGCTACGTGCACTACTTATTGCTGAGTTATTGCCAGGTTCACACAATTTGCCTAACTTAAAACATTCAATTAACCCTCGGTGTTGTAGGCCTAATACCTAAGTTAACTTATCAAAGGTCTGCAGTGATTTGCTTTAAATCAAGAAACATGAAACCAAAATTAACTTTATAGCCTATTTCACAATTGGTGACGGCTGATTAAAATTAACCCTTGCCGACAGACCGCCACCGCCCACCACCACCCAACACTGCTCGAGCAAACACCATTACCGCAACAATACGTTGAACAGCCGTAGGTCTCGGTGGTGTAGTGAATAGCGCACCAGGCTGATAATTCGGAGGTACTAGTAGCCGGTCTGAAACCCACCGGAGGCATTAACTTTCTGACTCAATTTTTTCATTATCAGCAAGTTTGGTTGGTTTGGTTCGGTTATGATGGTTTAATTTTTTAATAAAAAAATTATATAGGCCTAATTGTATTAGGGATCTATAAATGCGCTACCAGAAACTAGATTTTGAGCTGAAAATAACGGTGAAAACATTCATCTGAGCTCATATAACTGGTACCTGAACTACGGCCGTTTAATGTTTTGATTACTTTTGTAAATGTATCAATGTGAAACTTTCAATAGATCAGAAATAACTCCGCCCCCTTCTCATACCGCCCCTCCGACAATCACACGTCACAGTAAAACTTTATTCGGTAATAGGTGAAATAGCCTAATACTTGTCTAGTATTTTGTCACCTATTACTCCCTCATCAAGGATATTTAGCATAAGCCAGATATGTCCATAGAAAAACACAATCAGTGATTGTACTCACGTCTGTTCAGTACTTGTGTTCTAACACTTCAGAAAAAATCATCGTATTACACAGGTACCGGTATATTATTTTGCAATGCTCACCCTTAATAAGACATGATAGTTTTTTTCACTTGCTCGTTTCAATAGGCCTAGTTTAGACTATGTTACAAAAATAACTTACGGTAGATAAGTTAAAAAAAGTAAAAAAAAGTAGGTAGATAAGTTATATTATTTAGCGATACTTGTCGTTAATAATAAGACACTTTCAGTGTTACTTTACACCCTAGTTTTAACATTTCAGACAGCGTTAATTACAAAAAGATTAAGCATATTTTGTGCTAGAAAAAACTGTGTACCTATTTTGACGTCTAAGTATGTGTCTTTTCTTTTCAAACTGCCTTTACCTTTTAAGGTACGGTAATTGAATGTCTGTTGTGTGCTGAGTAGGCCTATGTGTGTTTTCAAACTGCCTTTACCTTTAACGTAAATGGAATGTCAACATCATAGCAGGCCTATTGTATCTGTAATTGAGTGTGTTGCAGTGGTTTGTGCAACAAGGTTTAAGATCTAGGCTCAAAGGATGTAAAAAAGATTGATGGGTATAATTACAGACCACTTTCCATTGAAGGAGTTTCCTTAGTAACATGATATGCTGTTCTCACAGTGCTCAGCCGAGATGTGTTGCCAACTTTAACCCTTTTGCTGCAAACAATGTTGCTACAACGGCCTTAGTTGCTGTGGGGACTTCGTCTTCTTCACCTGAGTCAGTCTTTCAGTCTTTGTCTCTGTACGGTGCAGAATGTCCATCGGGCTCTTGTTTGTGTAACAAGAAGAAGAAATCTCAGGTTAGTTGAAAATTAGGTTTCAATCGTCTAACCTATTTTTACATATCTGTAAACAGTTTTAACCTATTAATAATGCGAAACCTTGCATGTACAAAAAAGGTGTAGGCCTATTCTGTTCACAAAATTAAGACAATTTATGGGAAAGCAATTCTATCCTTTGAAAAAATTGTTTGACAGCTGAGGTTTGTCAAAATGTTGCCTGCTGCTTAACATAACCTAAATTTCTGAATTAACAACCATTAATTCAACAACCCAATTAACTGCTCCTTTGTCTGTGTTTGCTACTGTACTTAATATAGAGGACATTGTCTTGGTGGGTTTTTAAACACCTCATACGTAGAGTAGGGCCTTGCTTGCTCATAGGGTAGAGTAGGAGCTTGCTTGTGCTATACCGGTAGCATTTTTAGTGACCTGATTTTTGCTTGGTTTGTATATCCAAGTCTTTAGGCCTACTTAAGTTTCATGTGGCATTTTATTAAAATAATACTTAATTATGTTAATAGAATGTTAAACAGTAAACATAAATAATTAAATATAAACAAACATTCATTACATTTTTACCTTTATAATCAGCTTCTAAGTGGTGGGGGAACCCATGATAACTTCCCATTAAAATGCCTAAATTCTGTGCACAGACAATAACTTAACAGACCCTAATTTTCAACTGTACAGCCTAAAGATTTGTCTTTTGAAATTTTTAAAAACACATTTTTGGAACCACTTTGTTTTTTTTTTATTTAAATCTTATACCATATTAAATGCTATAGGCCTACCTAAAAATATATTTTAAATGGCATAGCTTTATGTCAATACTCTAACTGATACAAATAGGTATATTGATGCACTGATGTAAAATGACTGGTATACTGGTACGAATTCCGTATTGATTTATAAGTCTACAGTAGTGAACACAGAAAAACAATGGGCATAAGTTACCTTAAAAAAAATATGTTTTTGTCAAAACTACCATTTTGGTACCGTACCTTAAACACTGGATGCAACGCCTCAGAAGGGGAATTGAGCTATATTGCGTAGGCCACTGGCCTACTGTTTACAGATGTGATAATTTCCATGCAGTGGTAGGAAAAAGCTATTTTCGGGCAATAACAATTTTTGTTAGTTTAAAACGTGAATTAGGCCTAATAGAAAAATTTTGCAGGCCTATTGATTTTAAAATGACTAAACGTTTTGAACCAAATGGAAGAAAATAATAAACATCAAAAAATAAGAAGAAAGTGAATATACAAATAATGGCTGCTTTTAAGGTGTCAATCAAACACCATGGCAAGATTGTCATGTTAATGATTTAACTGTGTCATAGGTCATAGTCATAGGTTGTGTGTGTATTCCAGATGAGCACGTTTGTGCAGAAGACGAGTTTCAAGCGGCCAGTGCTGAGACGCAGCCACCTCGGTGTGGTGAGTCGTCGAGTTCTGAGAGCTCCAGTCCTTCGCTTCAGAGAGACGGTGGCAATCATGCGTCCCTTGGACCATCCGACAACTCTTACCTCTCACCTAGCCTCGCTTGATCTGTCAACCTCACAGGGCAAATTGCTCGGACTGGATCCGCAAAACATGAAAGATTTCAAATCCCTTGTGTCGTTCAATCCGAAACTCGATCTAAAATACAAATCACTCTCCCGATTCGAAACCGTGAGCTTCATCGAGTTGAGAACAAAGAGGGATAAACATTTCATTGTCGGCTTGCGGTCGCCGAGAAGAAGAACATATTCTGATAGCACTGCCCTCTCGTTACCCTCCACCTCGGAAAGTGAGAGTGAGACTGCCCAGCGACCGCAGGCCTCGTGCTCTATTCAGGCGAGGATGACTCCCGATGATACTAACATCGACGAGCTCGCTAGCTACTTCGACCTGTTTGTTCACATCCCGAAAAAGATGTCACACATGGCTGAAATGATGTATATTTAAATCTGAAAAGCCAGTTTGGCAAGGACTATTCCATGTTTTTGTTATTGAGTGTGTGAAACAACGCTGATTAGTATTCTCTTTGGTCCTTATACAAATTGGTACAAACTATGTGTGGTTTTTGTTTATTGTCAGCTTATTTGCTTAAGCCTATTTTTCATTAAATTATTGCATTTCTTATTTAACAATATTAAATATTTACAGCAATAAGTTGACTTTTTTTACCCATTGGTGGGAGTTCTATATGGAGCAAAACATCAACCATGCATTTAGTAGGCCTGAACAATATGATGAAAAATTTTTGACCTCTAAATTAATTTCAACTCTCGATGATCTGATCGTAGATTGACTAACCTCATTAAGTACTTAACAACAAACTATGGCAAGCACTTAACTGCAATGAATATTGTAATTGCTATGTGTAAAAAAAGAGATCTGTAGACGTTTACTAAGGTGAGGTTTTCTAAAGAAATTTTCATTTTCACATACATTTTGCTCTCTCTACACATAATAAGTACATTCTATTCAACATAAGTCTAACAAAATAGGTACAGTAATTTATGATTGACATTTTAAAATGACGACATAAAACAAAAACCTAAACAAGGTTTAATATTGAATTTATAAGTGTTTTCTAGGTTTAATTGTCATGGTTTTCATATAACATTATTTGTGACCAAGCCACAGAAATTTGAGGCTGTTCTATGGTAAAATATTCATAACACTGAAATCATAAAATGGATTCATTTAAATTTAACTAAAGATTTATGTATGTACTTAGTTTATTTGACATAATAGTAAAATCAATCGTAAGCTTTGTGTAACAATTTTCAAATTTACAAATTCTTTAGTAAGCATTATCTATGAAATAAGACATAATATTGTGTTTTTATCTACATAATCAAACCTACATCATCATTGTTATTATTATCTGTGCAGTTCTCTCCCAATGATATGTCCGTATAACATTGTCCGTACAACATCAAAAAAATATAAAAAGCCAACATATAGGCCTATACAGTCTTGCATCTTACTATTCATTTTTCATCTTGACTTGGTGTAGTTACACTTCTGGTATATTTTGCCCATGCATTGGTTTCATTTTCTTGTCATTTTCAATTTTCAAATTGTCCTTATCTATGACTTTTTCTGACCATTCGATTTTTCCTTGAAATGCATTGACATCTGGCGATTTACCAAGACTTGCAAGGGCTTCAGCCATTTTCATATCAACATTATCCTTATCAACTTTGTTCAAGTCTTTCAAAACCGGTTCAGGTTCGTCGTAATCATGTGGTGACTCTTCTGGCGGGAGTTGTATGGGTGGATTCGATTCAGAAAGTGTTCTAAAAGGATCGTTCGGATCATTAAGACTATTCAGAGACTGTGACTTAGATAGTTTTTTTGCAATATCCCCCAAAAAGTCTGGAGTAGTCATGGTTTGAATATTTAGAGTTACTCCTTTTCGTCTCTCATTTAAGTATTGTTGTCTCAGTCGTCGTTTTGTTGACCTAGCTGGTAAAGTAATGTGGACATTAGAGAATGAGTCTGCACTGTTAATTCTTGTTTTTTTATTAATCAGCTGTCTTTTGGTAGATTGATCGTAAGCTGGCGAGGAAGTAGCTTTTGTGATTGTTTGTAAAATATTTTTGGTTGTTGAATTATTAAATCTGCTATTTGAATACCTTTCAATATCTGAGCTTGTGTAACCACCTTTAGCATTGTAATTGTTTTGCGAGTCTACGTTGGTTCGTTGTAAACCATCAGTGATTTTCTGATGGCCTTGTTTACTCCGATGATGAAATTTAGATGGGATTGGTGTGGATAACTTAGTACTGTTTCTCTCAACGAACTTCTCCATTTTTAGGTTATTTTTAGTTTTATAAGTTGGTCTTTTATTTTCTGTTATTGGATCTTGTATTTCTGGCTGGTTACCTTCTTCAAGTTCTGTCTTTTCTTCCTCGTCTACAACTCTGCTTTCGTGATTCTTTGATTTGTTCCATTTTATTATCCCACCAAGAAGTGGTTCTTGTTTTTTTGTTTTATTATCTGTTTTGTTCACACTTTCCAATAAGATATCTTTGTTGGGTTTTCCATCTTTGGAATCTTGGTTACCACCATTCATTTCCTCTCCATTGGTAACAGAGCTTCTTCCTTCGCCAACTTTATCTGTGTTATTTTTCTCAGTCTGGAGTTCATTTCTTTCCCGACTGTTGAAGTTTGTATCCTGCGTTTTTTCTTTTGTGTTATAAATGTTATAATCATTTTTGTCTTTAAATTTCTCTTCTATATTTGTTTTTAACTGTTCAGCTACATGTTTCTGATCAGTGTTTCCCTCTTTCTTTATGCTACTGTTATTTTCACTTTTAAGTGGATTTATGCTTTTACTTACATTTTCATGACTAACCTGTTGTAGGCTTTTAAGTGAAGACTGTGTACTATTATAAGTCTCAGGAAGGGAAATATTCAAATTTGGGGTATAGCTTTCTTCCAGGTGAAATTTTTGATCACTATTTCTATTTATAGACACTGGTTCCTTAGAAGTGTTCCTATTGAGGTTCTGGCTGATAGCTTTGTCATTGCCTATGACTATGTCAGAATCTATGGTTTGTTTGTCACTGCCCAGTTTGTTTGTATTGGAATTTTCATTTCTAACATTTGTGTTATTAGTAATCTCATTGATGATTTTACTTTTTTGTCCCAAACTTTCCTCATTGCTAGTAACCTTACTATTTGCATCGCTTATGTTCTCCTTCTCTCTCCCTATTATCCCATTGCTATTATTTTGTTTCAGAAACTCTGTGTTTGTCGTTCTGCTGGTAACATGTAGAGGAGTTGAATCAAGCTGAATTTCTTCACTGGATGTTTTATCAATCTTTTCTTTCTCTTTCAGTTGGATCGGAAGAACCGATTCTGAGTTATTTTTTGGGTTAATCAAAACAATATTATTTTCATTTGGGTTAACCTTTAGAGTTTCATAAAATCCAGCCTTTAATTCATGGATTGTTTGGTTTGCTGGAATCCGCTCTGAGTCTATATTCATATTCTTCCCTCTCAGTTTTGATCCTTCTAATAGACTTTTGTCAAAAGTAGATTTTAATCCTGTTTCATTTTCGCTATCTTCCTTTGCACTTGTTTTTTGGTCTTTTGAATTTTCCTGATTCTCCAAAAAGGAGTCTTCAATTTCTGATTCATCTTCTTCATGTTCTTGGGGTAGATATTTTTTGTTATCTTCGTTGTCCAAAGGTTTGCCAAACATTGATATCGAATCATTCTTATTATCACTTGAAGCTGCTTCTATCAATCTGCTCCACACCTTTGCGCCTCCTTTTAGATCAGCTGATCGAGCTGGGAAAAAAAATAAAACCGTAACAAAAAGAAAATATTATATTTTACAGCTAGTCCTTAAATATTTTGTTTAGTTTTCTAAAAATTAATATTTTTATTAATTAATATTTTATGTACATTTTTTTGTAAATCTTTATTTAGTTTTATCTAATCAACAATTCCCTCAGTGTGCAATGGTAGCAAAATGATAAATTGAAAGTGGCCCATTTCAGGTTGAGATCATGTTTTACGGGTGAAGGAGACAGGCGTGGAAACACTATCATGCACAGGAATGGATCTTTCAAGACAAGTAGTGGCAGTGATTAGTGATAAATATTTTTCATACGATGCAAAAAATCACACAAAGCTTGGTTTTATCTTTCTTTGAGCATTGATACAACTAGACATTCCATCCCTATGTTGTCGCCAGTTTTTGAATCAAAAACGTAATTGATGAAAGTCACCGACAGATTGTGCTGGTCTAAATTACTAATTTCTGTCGAATACACAAACCTCGTATGAAATGACTTATTGTGAGCTAAAGCAACTGTTATGACCCACCAACTTATGTCAGCAACTTAAATAAATTAAGAAATAAAGGAGTTTTAGACACTAGCGCATTCTGTGACTGGATCACACAACTATGTTCTTTTTAGTAAAAAATTGGCAACAGCTGGTTCATATAGATGGAGTCTACTTCATTATGTCAACGGTTTTATCTTTATACTACAACTAAGTATAAATCAAATTATCATATTGCTTTAAGTGGAGGGAGTTAAATCTCTTTTGCTCTAGAGATCTATCCCTTATTGTTTTTAGATTGGCAGGCGCATAGTTTGAGGTGGCTCCAAAATTACTGAGTATTGGCATAGTTAAAAGCCATTAGTAAATGTGAGATTTGAACTGTGGTCTCTAAGACTGAAACATACCATTCCACAACCACTAGACCAACCACGTTCTAGTCAGTAAAAATATTCTATTGAATCTCTAAATTTGTAAAACTTTCCTACCTTTCCGTTTAAAACCATCGGCTTCATCTTCAGAGGAGGAGCTGTGTGTCTTATTCTCTCCAAGTTTGATGTAACGAAGTGCTTTCAGTTTTCCATCTTGAATATTAACCAGGCAAGTGCAATCGAATTCATCCGTTCCACAGCTGATAACAATGTCAAATAAAGTATTGGTTTTATTTTTACATTTCTTCTAAGATTGTGTTTTTGACACTATTAATTTATGTACATAATTTCTTGGATCCCAAAATAACAATACCATATCAATGAGTATAAATTTAATCTGTGTAGTAAAAAGTGTTATTGACTATACTGTACATCACTTTTTGGGTATGCTGAAATGGAAGTTTATTTTTTAATTTTTTTTTATATTCAAGAGGGAAATCTTAGAAAACAGAGTTGTAGGTATTATTTGATAGTCACAGATCAGGTGGTTGTTGAATCTAGGTATACTTCAATGTTACACACAGAATGCATTTTTAACAATGATTTTCTCAAGCTAGCGTCCTTATTAAATCCCTTTTCATTTTAACCAAGAGGGGGGGCAATAGAACCAATGACATATAAGAAGCTATGCAACAGGATCTTATAGAAAATCTATCCTGTTCAAACGTTTACCCCACATAGGCAATTGATACCAGGCTAGAAGTGTCAGTTTAGTACAAAACAAACTCTAAGGGGCAAAGAAATAACAACGAAAATAGTTTGTAGAATATTTTACTACTCAAATTTAATCCTCACCATTGCAATCCAGGGCCGAGACAGTCAAATGCAGGTTCACCTCTGTAATAAATGTAACAGGTGAGACGTAGGAATTGGCTAACTCAGGAACTCACTAACTCGGTCGTGTGTCGGAACTGGCTAACTCTGGAACTGGCTAACCGTCTCAGTCAGGAATTGGCTAACTCCGGAACCCGCTAACTCGATTTTGTCTCGCGGCGGAATTCGCTAACTCTGGAAGTCGCTAACCCGGCCGCGCCCACTGCACGGAGCGTTGCCAACCTTGTTCGACGAAATACTCGTACACTGCCGTATTTCAAAATGTCAGTGTCAATGAAGATACAGTAAATGTTATTGTTTTTTGTTATCAATTCCACTTTTAACAGATAACTAGCCCAAAGTAATTCAAAGACAATAAAAAAATCATGAAAAAGTGTTTTTTTTTTATTTAACTGTACAATGGCAAATTAAATGTTTATGATTTCGATCTTAAATATAAATGCCATCAGTATAAAATAAAATAATAAAATATGAAAAATATTTAAAATTCAGTTTAATAGGTACTAAATAATTAAACCTCTACGAAATTAAGCTAAAATACACGCAAGTTCTCAAACACGGAAAACAAATTTAATCGTAATGTCGTAATAAACCAAAACTATTAATTAATACAGTCATCAACCATCGTAACTTTCATAACTAATTCATAGACTTAAAATTAAATGTTCGTCGTTGAATCGTCCAACGTGTACAAATATGACATAGACCAAGTTTCATATCAACTTATAGAATAGCTGTAGGCCTAATGGTTTAAACCAAAGCATTTTAGGCCTACTAGTAAATAGTTGCCTAATTCTAAAATGTGTTGAATTTTTTAGTAATAATGTTACATGTTTAAACAGTTTTTAGATTGTACACCTAAGCATCACTAGTAAATAATAGGAGAAGATATAATATTCATATAATAAAACGTGACGGGTTTATTTTAATTCACGATTTTTAATCAACGACTTGAAGGATTTTCCTGATTTGAGTGTGGGGTTTCCTTTATATTGCTTTCACAATCGAAATAAACTACAGTTGAACCTCTATAAGACGAATTTCAAGGGGTAGGGGAAAAATTCGTACTATAGAGGTATTCTTAATAAAGAGGGTCGTTTTATCGAGGTTTAATGCTGCTGTTATTCTTCTTATAGAGGTTTCTCCTCGCTCCAAGGTTTCTCCAAACAATGACTGAGGAAGGAGGAGGGATGGGTGGGGGTTTCATGTTGAGACAAGCTTCTGTTTGTTTTGAAAACTACGTACTATGGAGGTTAAGATTATGATAAATTCGTCTTATAGAGGTCACGTTCGTCTTGTAGAGGTTTTGTGCTAAGCATATTCGTTGTATAGAGGTTAATCAGTCCTAGCCCATGTCACAAACAAATTCGTCTTATGGAGGTTTTTAACTTAATTACTACGTTGTATAGAGGTGTTTTTAGCATTGACCTATATGAAAGTGTCAAGGGGATTTAAAAAAATCGTCTTATCGAGGAATTCGTTTTATCGAGGTTCGTACAAACGAGGTTCAACTGTATACCAAGCCATTGCTCGGTTCCCTGTTCCCCGGTACTGAGCTACTCAATAGACTATAGCTTTGTTTTTGGATAAGATCAGGTAATTTTAGCTATGGCCACCATTCATAAAAATGATAACAAACAAGAACGTCTGGGTCCATTTAGAACCATAAAAAATCCACACTTTCAAAAAAGTAGGCCTACTGAAATACGTAAAATTAATATTAATTAAACAAAATTAAGAGGATGACCCGACTTCTAACTAATAGCCTACGATAACAGAAATTTACAAGTTGTATTTATGCATATACAAATTTGTAATGCAATCCATGAATACATTAGGCCTACCACTTTATAATGTATTGATCAATATTTATTTAAATTCAATAGCTCTATTTAAAAAAAACAAAACATTACCATTATTTCTCAATCATCAATCATTTCAATTTATTTCTGTAATGACGTTTAACGTGTACATTTTATCATGATTTATGATTCAATTTTATGATTCAAGGTTACAAGCCCAGTATATAAAATACGAACTTAATAATTATATTTGCAGAAGTTCACAAAATGGTATTTATTTGAATAAAAGAAACAAATGGCGGACTACGAAAATAGATATTTCATAACATGTAAAAGATCCAAATTAAATGTACAGTATTATCTTTTTGCATCCCAATAAGCTACTATTTAAGTGAGAAACCCACATATAAAATATACCCCCTTATATTAGTACATTTCTCATCCTTATGGATCAGCTGAAGACAGTTGTATTGTTAGATCTGTCCGGTGCACTGTCTTTAGAGGTCGTGTTTTGTTTACAATTGTTTCTTGTTTTCAGTCATCTAAAACCTCGTTTAACCAAATAAATCGTTCTAATCACAACTAATAACACGTCCCCTAGTTATATAACCAAACATTAATGAACTAATCATAAAGTTAACTATAAAATAATAGAAACACAATTTCGTCGACACTAGCGATCAGTGTCACCGGACATGAACTAGACACAAAAAACGAGCTTCAAAGTTTACTTGTGTTGGTTAGGCTATGGTAAGACTATAATACATTTTCCACCCGAATAATCATAAAAATAATATTAAACATACTTCTAAATATAGTTTATCGACTATCAACTATAATGTAAGGTAAATTTTTGCCGATTTTATCAACTACGTTGCTCTTAATCCTATAATTATTCGTAGGATAGGATTTATTGTTATTGTTACATATTATGCACTTATTTATTGCTGGGTTGAAATGTTTACAAAAATGTATTTAAATTCTACAGTAACCTAAGAGAAATATTGTTACGTCTAGACTATAAAATTGGAGATGTTCCGTTGGTATATAAAATAAAATAAAATAAGGATACGACATTATGGTACCGATACGATATAGGTACTACACTTTCGGCAACACTGGCTAAAAATCTTCGTGCTTGGCTCCCATTGGACGGCCCGCGAGGCTTCTGATTGGGAGTTAGCGAGTTCCGCCGAGGGACCGAGTTAGCGACTTAAGTACGAGGACGGAATTCGCTAACCCAGCTCTAGAGCGGGTTAGCGGGTTCCGGAGTTAGCCAATTCCGAAACCGAACAAGTTAGTGAGTTCCTCTCATCGACCAAATTTGAAGATAGGGCGTTTAACATGGGGTTAGCGAGTTCCAGAGTTAGCCAATTCCGCGGACCCTAACAGGTGTTTCATAAGTAATAGGTTAGTTATTAAATTAATGGTTGATTTTTTATCCTATGAACTATCGTTTGGCTTATAGTTGCCATCTGACATTGGTATCACTGGCGTTTTGTAGTAAGTAGGTAGCAATAAAACATTTTTTAGATAAAAATATATAAAAATATATATATATAAAAATTAAAACCACTGGTATTGGAATACAGATGTATAGTTATATGTTTTCAACTATTAATGGTAATTGATAAATATCAATGATTAAGTTTAAATGTTCAATATAAATAGGTTACATACCTTACGTCGTCAATCCTAAAATAAGTCTATGGCGACTAGTTTCGAAACATCAAGGTTTCATTGTCGAGCCTCTTGCCTCATTAAAAACATTGTGACATCTTGTCGTCGTCATTATACACAGTACATTTAACATAAACACACGAACACGGACACATACTATTTACAAAAATGTATGTGTCCGTGTTCGTGTGTTTATGTTAAATGTACTGTGTATAATGACGACGACAAGATGTCACAATGTTTTTAATGAGGCAAGAGGCTCGACAATGAAACCTTGATGTTTTGAAACTAGTCGCCATAGACTTATTTTAGGATTGACGACGTAAGGTATGTAACCTATTTATATTGTCAATAATCAATCCTGGAGGCAATGATGAATAAATTTAAATGTTCACTTCTCAATACGTAACTGCACTCAGGTTTTAACCCCATAAGATGTTTTTTGTTGCCATGCCCCATGGAGACCGAATTAATACTTATTAACAAAAGCTCAAATGCCTTTGAAGCTTAGGACGTCAAAAAGGCGCATCCCGAGGTTTTTTTAAGCTCATGCTAGACATAAATGTTGGTTTAGTTCCTCATCTACCTCAGTGAGGTGAAATCTACCAGTAGGGTTTTCTTTTGGAACATAACAATCACCACCTCTTCCTTATAAAATTGACTACCCCTCTAAGAGCAGCTTACCTATCACTTAAGCAGTCTGTCTCAAACTGTCGTAGGCCGCAGTCTCTGTCATGAGTTGTAGACTTCCACTCTGCCCATTGCGATGTGACTACGCGTCTCAGACTAGTCTCCGGGCACGGGTCTTCACAGAACTGTAACGAGAAAAGTCAGGTGTTAAATACACTGGAGACTTTGGTGTCTAAGACCTTGACCAATGTGACTAACTGATGTAAATCTAGACATTTAGAGATTATAGTTCCAAATATCGAAGTAAGCCTACTTATATATAATGCTATGGATTTATTCTGTTAAAATACCTCAAATTATCCTAACATATCCCAACCAAAAACTAACCACCCTTCGTATTAAATCAAAGAAACTACTTCAATGGCTAGCAAAATAATTATTGGTAACAGTTAAGATCAAACTTTTTAAGGGGCATTGAGTTGCTGCTGTAAGAAATTTAGGTAGCAAGTGTGCATCTGTGTTGTGTTTTTAGATTCCATCAGTATCAAATGTGTGTTTACAGAAAATCAGTTGCGATTTGATAGTTTTAAACTGTAGGCTACCCGGTTCTCATTGATCATTATGTTTTAAATGGTCCAGGCTAAAGAAACAACCCAAATATTTTTGGGCCCATAACGCTTTATCTACATGAAAACCGCGAGCCTGCATCCAATCTTAATTTCTACCAGAACTTATTACTTAATGAGCTTTCTGTTTATTTATTTTAACCTTTTTCTACATTCATAATTATTTATCTGATCACCATGTTAAAGCTATAAACTGGTTTAGAATAAAAATTAACTCAGGAAGTTGAGTTGTGCTACCAATTACAGAGTTCTTGTTAAAAAAATTTCTGACAATGCCAAGCCAACGTTTTTGACTAAGCTAAATTGAATGGATAATTTTGGTGTCTACTAAAGGTAGCTTGTATTAGGTTACAAATGTTAATTTATTTTACCCTAATAGTGCAGTAAAAATAAGAGAAAAATTCCATTAACCTAAAAAAAATTAGCACAACCGGGGAATTTGGTACAGATGTTGGGTGTAACTTCCTTTTGAACATACTAAAAGTCCCCTAAAATTGAAGCTGTGCTACGGCCGCCATATTGGAAAATGACGGCATATTTCTGTATTTTTCGCTATAGTGAGTTTATTATTAGAGATACAGGAAAAAGCTAAATGTACAAAATGTAGGCCATCTGAAAATATACATTTTTTGTATTTAACATCTTTCTCTAAACCCAACGGTTTTTGAGTTATTTGTTATTAAGTATATTTAGTTTTTTCTATTTATCATAAATAGGTGAAACACATGGAAATTGACCGTTACTTTCAAGGATTATGATAATTTATCCCATTTAGTTAAATAATGTGATACAATAAAATCTTAAAATTTAAGCTTATTTTATGAGTAAAACAACTCTGCCACAGCAAACCTGCAGACTCAGCATATTTCCATTTGATTAGATGTTTTATCAATTGTATTTAAATAAAATTAGATTCAACAGGTACCTAGGTTTGCTGCTACTGGTAGGTTATTATAGTGTGTTTTTTTTTTAGTAAAATATCAATAACTTAGTATAAAATAATTAATTTTCCAAGTTTGATCATAATAAATCTATAAACAAACTGCAACAGTTAACTAATTCATAATAATAGCATGGTAGCTTAAGATTTACAACTTACAAATTTGAATATACAAATTTTGGTTGTGTTTACTAAAAATATGGCGATTATTCGTCACGATTCGAATACTAACCGAAGGGGTTTTCAAAGGGAGATGAAGCAAGTAATTTAAGTACTGTAATATTAACTCGTACCAAGTATCGGAAATATTGTATGCAGTGAGGAAATCAACCAGATTTTGTAAACTACGCAATAGTCATATTAATATTTTATACTCATTTTTACCCATTCAATAAATTATCATTTTAATATTTTGATGGCACTACCACTATCACTCTGGCATCAACTAAGTGGGATGAATAATTGTCGTAAACTTTGAAAGTAATCGCCGATTACGATGGGTTTCACCGATTTTTGATAAATAAAACTAACTATACGATACCATACTTAATTAGTCACCAACATGAACTAGACACGAAAAACACCCTTCCCAATTTACAATGGGATGTCAAGTATAGTTAGGTAGTGTGGTGGTGCCATCAAAATACTAAAATGTTAACTATTAAATGGGTAAAAAATGAAGATAAAATATTAATATGACTATTGCGTACTTTACAAAATATGGTAGATTACCTTACTGCATACAATATTTTCTGTGATTGGTACGAATTAATATTACTTAAATAACAGGCTTTATCTCCTTTGAAAACCCATTTGGTTAATATTCTAATCGTGACGAATAATCGCCATATTTTTAGTAAACACAACCAAAATTTGTATATTCAAATTTGTTTATTGTAAATTTAAAACTCCCATGCTATTCCAATGAATTAGTTAACTGTTGCAGTTTGCTTGTTTATAGATATATTTTGATCTAACTTGGAAAATTAGTTATTTCATAGTAAGGTATTGATATTTTAATTAAAAAACACACTATAATAACCTACCTGTAGCAGCAAACCTAGGTACCTGTTGAACCTAATTTTATTTAGATACATTTTTTTAATAAGACATCCAATCAAATGGAAATTTGCTGAGTCTGCAGGTTTGCTGTGGCGGAGTTGTTTTACTCATAAAATAATCTTAAATTTTAAGATTTTATAGTATCACACTATTTAACTAAATAGGAAAAATTATCATAATCCTTGAAAGTAACGGCCAATTTCCATGTGTTTCACCTATTTTTGATAAATAGAAAAAACTAAATATACTTAATAACAAATAACTCAAAAACCGTTGGGTTTAGAGAAAGATGGTAAACACAAAAAATGTGTATTTTCAAATGAGCTACATTTTGTACATTTAGATTTTTCCTGTATCTCTAACTAGCTGTACCCACGGGCTTTGCCCCGTTTAACTTCGTAAGTATTAATAATAAATTAAAAATGAGTATCTCCACTAAGCCTTTGGTTATATTGGCTCTATTCATGAAAAAAATCTGCTCAATTGGTCAAGTCGTCTTCCTTTCCTAATGTGGTTTTATGTCAATGCTCGTTAATTTTCAAGATGAGCTCATTCGCATGGCTCAATCACGTCCTGATTGAAGTTCGTTTGCTACGCTTACTCACCTTTAGGTCGCTGCGCTCACTTGCCTTCAGGTTAGCTCGTTCGCTACGCTAACTCGCCTCCAGGTTGAAGTTATTTCACTACGCTCACTCACCTTTTGGTTGCAAGCTGTTGTCATGAATGTAAAAAAATAATAGTGCTGCACCCTGTTGGTAAACCTATTAACTCTTTAATGCTATTGAACATCACAGAATCAACTTTTTTAGTTGAACCAGCTGTTTAGACTCTTTAATTCCATTTAAATATGAGTACTCATAAGGTTAACATGGGAAACTCCAGAGCCACTGGGGCGGAGCCCGAAAGCCCGATCAGAATAAAAACTACTTAGTTTTCCTATTTAATGCCCAAAGAATCGGTGTACCGAATTCCAGCCTCCTAGGTAAATGGGAAGTGGGAGAATTAGTGATGAGTGAGTGAGTGAGTGAGTCAGTGAGGGCTTTGCCTTTTATAAGTATAGAAGATAATAAAGTCACTATAGCGAAAAATACAGAAATGTGCCGCCATTTTCCAATATGGCGACCGTAGCACAGCTTCAATTTTAGGGGACTTTTAGTATGTTCAAAAGGAAGGTAAACCCAACATCTGTACCAAATTCCCCGGTTGTGCTAATTTTTTTTGGGTCGAAACATATTTTTACTGTACTATAAACTTAAACCAGCAGAACTACTAAATTTTAGTTTCCCCCTGCTAGTACCCATTCATCATATTAATTTACCGTGAACTTTACTGACCAGTTGATGATATCTGCAGTGTCGGTCGCAATGTACGCTGTACAGTGACCCGTGTTCCCCAACATCACAATGTGCTGTACCACAGACAGTTCTTGGTCCACAGATGGTATCTGGCAACGGACTGGCGTAGCAGGTCTTGAAACCTGGCAAACATCACAAAGGCAACGGCCAACTTTACTAACCAATGAATAAAAGGATTCCTCAAACCGACATGTGATCCTATTCCAGTTGGATTGTGTGTTTAGTAACATAATCTTTGGACATAAAATTCACATTAACATAATATTCACTTTTCTAGGGCAACCTTTTGATTACTATGAGCACCACTCAGCCACCCAGCTCTTCATCATCTTCACCTTGAAATAGGGACCTTGCTGTGTCAGAATCATAACGTTATAATTTAATTTATAAATACAGTACCTACCACACATGAAGTCCTGTAGTTTTCCAGCCAGTTTGACAGAACAGTTACATTGGGAGTTCCATTGGTTCATACCCGTAACATCACAAAGTCTACGGTGAACCCTTGCACTCGAGGAGGCGCTCGATGTTCCCTCCAGGAATTCACAGTCCTGCGGCCGTGCTCGAGCTAGCTCAGGGCTACAGAGATGCCACTGTCGGAACTCTGAGCAGAGACAATTGCCCAGGAACATCTGTTTTCGCAAAGGCTTCTTGCATCTGGGTATGTTCAGCTCTAGAAACAACTGGGAAGAGAATATGATTAAGTGAAATCTTTGATCTCATCTCATTAATTTTTATTCATATTGTACCTGTTTTCTTACGTGTGGAAACATGTATGCTAAAAAAATATTTTGCTTGGGCGAGTCAGGAGTGGTGAATTGATGCTGTTAAATCTAGACAACAATGTCTTGGGTTCATACCACTTAAATCTTAGTTTGATATGTTCCGTGCTCAAGTCTAAGGCCTATGTGCTGAACAGTTGTGTAGAAGAGCTGGAACATGTGGGAACGACATATTGGTAAGCCGCTCGTATTTCTCTAGATTTATCTGATGAGCGTTCTCACGCATAAATATTTACCACTGCATGAGACCATTTTAATGTGAGGTTAAACGATAAAACCAAAATTTATTTAAAGAATACTAAACGTGTTTAGGTTTCAAAAAACAAGGTAGTAACAAATATATGACACAGCAGTTTAAACATGGAAGAAAAATATGTTACAAAATTAGAATGCCAAGTCTATGATGGTTTTCAGTAAAAAGGTAACGGAGATTGGCTAAGAGATGGTTAAATATATCAAAATAAAAACCCTCTGCAGTAGGGCCTAAGTATAAGGGTCGGATTCTATGTTTAGAGACGAGAAATGAAAGAGGATTATTATATACACACCTGGGAGACTTGAGTTGCTATATTAATGAACTGTGTACAATGACATTTTTAAACGGGTTGTTAAAATTTTGATATTTTTGTAGTTTGGCTTTTTACATTACATTGGACTTAAGGCCTCAACACAAGGTCACTTTACATCATTCTTATAATGTTATCATTTGACCAAAGAAAATCACTTACCAACAATGTAAGGTACCATACAAAGAGTTTCAGGCTGTTTTCGACATAAAAATATATTCACAAAGAAAATCCACGAAAAAGTAATATTGGGTTTTCTAATTTCTATACAAAACCTAATTTAATTACTGTGTGGATGTAAATACTATTAACTACAATATCTTTTATTTGAGCATTTCAAGATTTTTTCCAAATTTTACAGTGGGAATATCTAATTGTAATTCTCTGGTCTCAACAAACCTAAGCATAGTAATTCAATACATTAAATTATAATATTCAAAACTAATTTGAAATAGAAAAATTGTTGCTCAATTATGATGAGTCTGATTTATTAACACTAGTAAAACCCATTGTCTAATATTGCAATATAAATTTGATTTCTATTTACTTTATCAAGCTAGACTTGGTTTGAACCCTGTGGTCAACAAATAGGAGTTCAACATTTTATGCCACTTCACCTCAGGCTCTGGGCCCTTTAGTATTGTAGTGTCTAAAGTCACAATGATAGTACTTACGCTACATATACCTTCGCCAATCTCAACAAAAGTGCAGTGCTGGAGGTATAGGTGGCTGATTAAATGGTCAAAATCAGACAAATCACTCCGCTTAGCCCTAAAAACACTTTCCCCATTAGTGAGTCCAATACTGATTAAAACCAACAGATAAATTTTGAAAGAAGAACCAGTAGCATCAGAACTACATTTCATTTTTGTGTCTAAGATTTGGAAATATATAGTTTCTCGCAACTGTATCAGAAAGGTTATTTGTAATATTTGTTTTGGTTATGAAAACAAATACCAAAAAATTGATTCTCTATTAACAGATGATAATTTTCTAATATTATCAAAATACAGGTGTGGTAACTAAAGATAGTTTCCTGCTGAAGGAAACAAAAAGCAATATATAAATTGTGGAGATTGTAGGTTCGTTCACTTGAAATAGAAACGGTAGGGGTCTAATGTCTTAATTATACCTGTATTGAATACAAATTTACTAAACCATAATTATATTTTCAGATTAATAATTTATATTCTTAATTTGAGTTACGATAATCTTTAACCATTGACTATTAGATACAGCTTAAACTTAACTTTAAATTGGTATCAAAGTATTTTCTCGTAAAACTTAATTTAGCTGTAAATAACTAAAAGTGACAGGTGTTTTGACTGATTATAGTTTGAACCTTAATTTGTGATTACTCACACAAGAACCCTAAACTTTGTAACACAAAAACCGTTAAACTGTTTAAAATAACTTACATGAAAAGCTGACTGTGAAATTGGCGGATAAAAAACTATTACATTTACTTTGAATTATTCAGAAATCGTTTCGTTCAGCCAGTTACTGCATTTCTCAGAAGTTTCATTTTGAAATAATATACGTCCTGGGAACGGTTACAAATTGAATAAATACGAGACGTCGAGAAAATTAAATAAACAGAACGTAGGATGAAATTCTCTTTGCTACTTCTTTTCGAATCTTGCTAAAAAGTGGTTGACAGAACGAGATTATTATTTTACTGTAACCAATATTTCAGTTTATCTTCTCATGCCTGCGATATTGATTTGTAATTGATTTATAAGACTGGTTTTGAATATTTTGCATTTTGATAGATGAAGAAAGGAAGAAGAACAGAAGTTTATTTTGATACTATAGGTACATGAAAAATTGGATGCCGTGAATGAGTTATATAACAAGCTACACGCTATAACTATTTCCTACAATTTTGATTTTGCAGTACACATTTTACCTAAGACAGCTACCTTACAAATCACAAAAGAAGAATACAGAGAAGTGTATGGTAGTTAGTTTGAGGTGATTTCATCAGTCAGGATCGTTTATCAAAAGCCCAATGATCAAGGGCGACTCTGGGCCCAGTTTCGAACGATCAAAATTCTAATATTACTAATTGAGATGGGGACGACACCTAGGTGCGTATGTAGAGTGTGATGATCCGTATAGCTTTGTTACTGACTAAGACCAGCTGTTTCTTTAGCCATGATAATTATTTACAGCCAATGATCAGGAACAGCTGGGTCCAGTTTTGAACCTTAACAATCTACTGACTTTGCTCAGGGTCGCACCAGCAAACAACCTTTTGATTGTTAGGCGAGCACTAAACCACTTAGCCTTAGCCACTAAGCTACTGGGTTGAACCTACAACCATAGATAAAAGGATGCTACAACCCAAGAACACGCCTCATTGGCAGCACTGAAACTGCTTAGAAAAACACATAAGAACCCAAAACGATATCTTACATTATTGAAACATTTTATTGTAAGGTATTATTTTGTGACAATACCCTCACTTGATATTTTCCATACAAATCCTATATGTATAAAAATCTCTATTTGTTGGTTACACTTTTGTGGCAAATGTAAAGCAACTGAATTGGTGGTAAATATTATAACTGATTGACTCTTAGATTGAACTGTAAAAAATAAGGCTAATTAATTAAATACGAGTACAATATTCAAAACTGAAAGTGGAAAACCAAACTTATGAAGTTTATTTGAGTTTCTGTCGCAAGGTAATCAAAGGGTTCAACTTTTCAGTGAATTTGTTTCGTCAAGAACTTAGCATTTTAAATGTATTCTGGGATGTTAACTCAGCGAAACAAGCTTTTGCCTGCAATTACATCAAATTAACAATCTAAACTATTCGAATATACCTAATTAGTGTAAATAACTAAACGACGGAGATCGTTAATTGATATTGGCACACTCGGAATGTTGTGTAATTAACTAAAAAATGGAAACCATTAATTTTTGTCGGCACACACGGCCTGTGGTGTAATTAACTAAACAATGGAAATCATTAATTTTTGTCGGCACACAGCCTGTGGTGTAATTAACTAAACAATGGAAATCATTAATTTTTGTCGGCACACACGGCCTGTGGTGTAATTAACTAAACAATGGAAACCATTAATTTTTGTCGGCACACTCGGCCTGTGGTGTAATTAACTAAACAATGGAAACCATTAATTTTTGTCGGCACACACGGCCTGTGGTGTAATTAACTAAACAATGGAAATCATTAATTTTTGTCGGCACACACGGCCTGAGGTGTAATTAACTAAACAATGGAAACCATTAATTTTTGTCGGCACACACGGCCTTTGGTGTAATTAACTAAACAATGGAAACCATTAATTTTTGTCGGCACACACGGCCTTTGGTGTAATTAACTAAACAATGGAAATCATTATTTTTTGTCGGCACACACGGCCTGTGGTGTAATTAACTTAACAATGGAAATCATAAATTTTTGTCGGCACACACGGCCTGTGGTGTAATTAACTAAACAATGGAAACCATTAATTTTTGTCGGCACACACGGCCTGTGGTGTAATTAACTAAACAATGGAAACCATTAATTTTTGTCGGCACACTCGGCCTGTGGTGTAATTAACTAAACAATGGAAATAATTAATTGATGTTGGCACACTCGGATTGTGGTATATAACCTAAACGAAGGAAATCATTAATTGATGTCAACACACTCGGAGTGTGTCGTAGTAGTGGCGAACTACCGGTTTAAAGTCACTTGGGGCACGTTTTCCCATAAGAAATAACATGGGATCATTTTTTGGCCACTAAAACCAAAAATCCTGATCTTTGTTTAAATATCCCTATATAATTGTCAAACCTTATTTCTTACTTATTCCCCATAAATATATTTGATATTAAGCTAAAAAAGCTATTTCTTACATTTATTGACCCTTACAAGTGTAAATGTAGAGTAGTGGTGAACCCACAATATGACCTCACTTTAGGCACGTTTTCCCCATAAGAATAACATGGTGAGCTTTTTTTGACCACTTTTTTAAAAATCCAGCTCTCGACCAATACAAGCCTATATAAATGATCAATACCATTGTATAACTTCAATCCACATCCATTCACAGGTATATTCTCAAAATCATCAACTTGACAGTGCGAGGTTTGTACGCGAACTCGTGCGCGCTCCCGGCTCATGGCGCGCTCCCTTGGACATCCTTAGTGGAAATCCATGAATTCTGGCTACTTGGGAACCCAAGCCATTTGACATATAATAAATCACCTTTTCTCCTAATAACCTTTTCTATCAAATACATGTCTTTATATTTGGTCTTTAACAATTCCTCTGTATAGAAGCCTCCCCTGATTATATTACCATTTTCATCTTTCAAGATATAAGTCACAGGCTTTGTATTCTTTACTTCTGCTATTGTAAATAGCTCACCTGTCCAATTTGGAGTATATCCTTTACTAAAAACATGTTTATACTTGGAAATCCTCACACTATCACCCACCTTATATCTTGGCTTTTTAACTTGCACTACTTTAGAAGTCAACCTCTCATGCACATATTTACTATTCTTAATATTCACTTGTTTAGGCTTCATACCTATGGATCTATGCACCTTATTATTATATTTTCGAATTAACTTTGGAAGTAAATCCAACCATTTATAACTTCCCTGAGCACTAAATTCCCTATATAACCAATTTTTTAAAGTTCTCTGAAACCTCTCCACAATTGCAGCCTTAGTTGTAGAAAACGTGTGATAGTGATTAATATTTAATTTTTTCATTAGTTTGCTAAAATATTGATTAAAAAATTCTTTTCCATTGTCAGATTGAATGTTTTTAACCCCCTTTGGTAGAATGGTTTTAATGGCTTCTGTAACCACCAACCCTGTCTTATTCTTTAGTGGAGCAGCATAAGCTTTTTTAGAAAATGTATCTATTAAAGTTAAAATATATTTATTGCCAGAATTCTCTCTAGCATAGTTTTGCATATCAATTAAATCTATTTGTACAGTTTCGTTTATACCTAATACTTTAAAAGACCTTCTAATGAAATTCTTTCTTGCAGGCTTATGAAGTTCGTATGCAATTTCATTCATTTTTTATAACATCACTCTTTCCTTGTACTGTAAATATATTACCATTAGCCCCAATCAATAGATTATCTTCCATTCTTTTAAATACATAGTTTTCTGGTATATATGGTCTATTATCTATATACTTAAATCCGCTCAAAGATGTAGGGTCGGCAACTAATAAATCAGGATTGTATTCCATCAAATTAAATTTTCTTCCTGCATATACAAATTTTGATCCATCATAATACATAGCTTGTGACATTAAACAAATATCATCTAAATATTCCCCCTTTGGCAGATTCCTTATAAATTGTTTTTTGGCATCCCAACATTTTTCTTTTTTATCAAAAGTTATAGTCTGTTCTTTTGTAACACAGTCAGTGTCATCAATGGCAGGTTTAACACATACTAACCTTTTATTATTAAAATCCCAATAGCCTGCTTCCATTTTTGGAACTTGTGAAACATTCACAGCATCCTTACTATCTGTACCTTCTATCAAATTGCTAAGTTTCTGTTTCTTAGCATTCCAAACACCATTCTCTGATTCTAAAAATTCATAATTATTATCATCTTGAACAAATTTACCATCTTCTTTTCGTATTAAAGTCTGTTGTAAAGTGGGCACATCATTTAAACTTTCACCCTTTTCTACATTAGTAATTTTCCGTTTCTTAGCATTCCAAACACCATTCTCTGATTCTAAAAATTCATAATTTTTATTGTCTTGTACAAATGTACCACCATCTGTTCGTATTAAAGTCTGTTGTAAAGTGGGCACATCATCTAAACTTTCACCCTTTTCCACATTAGTAATTTTCTGTTTTTTAGCATTCCAATTTTTATTCTTAGATTCTAAAAACTCATATTT